ATGCTAGATTAATAACTGGAACAAGAACATATAAATGCAAAGTAAGATTCATATTACGATTAGTAGAGGCCAATCTTTGATCGGGCAAGCGGGGGTGCCTAATTCATGACCTTTTCCTCTCGTACCTAAGTTCCCGAGCTGAGACAATCTTGGTGATGACGGACACGTGGCCTTTGGCGTGAGACATGGGTTTCCTAAATTTCACAAAAAAATATTTAGGTGGCGACTCTGTATCTGGCAAAGCAGTCTATTTTTGACAATTTGATTCAAAATCAATTTTTCAAAAGATTTGTCAGATTCGGATTCTTTGGTATTTATCTATTTTACAATACACTTACGGAATCAGATTCTGAGCCATGCACATTTAAGCCCACTTTTCAAGTGGCAAATTCAAACTCTTTTCAGAAAACAAACATGACTCAAGTGTTCCAATTATTGCAAGTTAGCCTATACTTGTATGTGCACATCACATAGTAATGCTAGATTAATAACTGGAACAAGAACATATAAATGCAAAGTAAGATTCATATTACGATTAGTAGAGGCCAATCTTTGATCGGGCAAGCGGGGGTGCCTAATTCATGACCTTTTCCTCTCGTACCTAAGTTCCCGAGCTGAGACAATCTTGGTGATGACGGACACGTGGCCTTTGGCGTGAGACATGGGTTTCCTAAATTTCACAAAAAAATATTTAGGTGGCGACTCTGTATCTGGCAAAGCAGTCTATTTTTGACAATTTGATTCAAAATCAATTTTTCAAAAGATTTGTCAGATTCGGATTCTTTGGTATTTATCTATTTTACAATACACTTACGGAATCAGATTCAGAACCATGGGAGTCCGATACTGTTGGGCTTATTTCGACCTCTGAAAGGGGGCGCGTAAAAGTCGAGCTACAGAGTGATAAATCATGAAATGTGATTATTCAATAAGTTTGGGTACAAGTATTATTACCCATAATTTTAAGGAAATTGTTGTTCTTATAGTTGTTAAATAACTTAATGTCTTGGAATAACAAATGAATAATCAATTACTCCATAACGTAATTATCACCAATGAAAAGTTATAGAAGAATCACAAAAAATAATATTAAGAAGATCTCATGAGGTAAAAAGATTTGTCATTTCGAATGATTATGCGATATATCTATAACAATCTTATTATAATATTGGGATAAGTAAAGACTCGGTTTCATTGTCACAAGCCATAGAAAGTATTGATTCTACTAAATGAATTGATGTCATGAATGATGAGTTGAAATCAATAGACCAAAATGAAATTTGGGATATCATTGAATTGTCTAAGGATAAAAAAATATTTATTGTTCTAAAAGTAATATAAAATGATATAATACTAGATATGTGGTCAAAGATTTTACTCAAAAAATAGACATTGATTACAATGAGATATTCTTTTTTCACTTGTTTCTTAAAAGGTTGATTTAGAATCATTAAGGCATTGGTAACTCATTATGATATTGAGTTGTATTAAATGTATGTGAAAATTAATTTTCTGAAAGAGAGTTTAGATGAAGAATTTTGTGTAGATCAACTCAAAGGTTTCTTTATTGAGAAAAATGAAAATGTGACTTGCAAACTTAAAAAAAAATCAATTTGTGGACTTAAACAAGTTTTCTACAAATTGTATCTTAAGTTTTATGATACTATTTTTCTTTGGATTTAAAGAATTTTTTTTTTTAATTTAGTGTACATATCCAAAGATCAGTGAGAGTAAGTTTATATTTACGATTTCGTATGTTGATGATATTTTACTTGTCAATAATGTACATGATTTATCGCACGAGTTAAGAAATTTCTCCTTAAGAATTTTGAAATTAAATATATTAGTAAGACAATCTATGTGATGGAAATTGAAATATTTCTGAAAGAATTACATAAATTGTTGAGATTGTCTTAGAAGATATATATTAAAAGTTCTATAGAGATTCAAAATGAAAGAATATTCACATAATGTTACCCATATTTTAAAAGGAAATAAATCTAGTCTTATGCAAAAATTTTATAAAATCAATTGGAATTGAAATGATTCTTTATACATTTATTGTAAGAAACTTAATGATCAAATAAGTGATAAAGTAATCATAAGGAATAAAAGATTACTTGCTCACATTTATGAAGTCTGATAATCTTGAATTGATTGGTTACTTAGATTTAGACTTTTGAAGATATATTGATAGTAAAAAATTCACTTTTGATTCTTTGTTTCTATTATGTGGAGGAGCAATATTAAGAAAAGTGTAAAACAAACTATCATAAGTATCCTCTATGAAAGTTGAATTTGTGATGTGCTTTGAGACCACAATTCATGAATTGTTATTGCGAAACTTTATCTCAGAATTTGGAATTGTCGACTTTTGTTGCCAAGTTGAGAATTTATTGTGATAATTTTGCAATTGTTTTATTTTCTTAGAATGACAAGTATTCTAATGATGCTAAACACATAGAATCGTTAACGAAGAATTTCAGAAGCAAAAAGTGTCAATAAAACACATAAGTACATAACTTTTAAGTGCAGATCTATTGATGAAGGGATTACTCTTAAAGACAATAAAGAAACTTGCCAATTGGGTCTTGAATGTAATCCATAACAGTTGTTTATGATTGATTGTGTTATTTAACACATTAAGATCTCATTAATTGTGTTTCTGATATATTTCCTATTATGAAATGAGTACGTATATATATGAGAATGAATGAATGACAATAAGAATAGTCTTTCATAAAAAACATTATCGTTGGACCTCTTTATACTGTTCACTTAAAGGGTTATGTTAAATTAGTTGCCAGTGTTGTAGTACATGGAAGGGATTACATCGCACTATTGGTGTAGAACTGCCATGACTCATACTAGTGAACTATTTAATTATAGCATTATGATAAAAACCAAATTAAATGTAATATTGAATATGGTTTATTGCGCGCCTAATATTAACCTTGTTAAATCTTGACATAAGTTATCATATGGGGCCAAGTGAGAGAATGTAAGGCTAAATTAATTATTTAGCCATTATGTTGACCCACATGATATGGTAATATGAATTAGAGATTTGGCAGGATTATGATTCCATATTTTTTGCTACATTAATTGATAAATAAAAAAGAGTGTTTTCCAAGTATCCTACTTTAATGGAAAAGTGGAATCATTGTTGAATAAGGAAACTGGTCCCTCTCTACCAATAAAAGGACATTCAGACTACCCATCAAATAAATTATGAATTCAATGTATTCTAAAGAGGTTTAAGAGACAGAAACATTTTCCCACTAATATTGATATTAGGTTTATGTTCAATCAATTATGAATCATTTGAAGGTTTCGCATAACTGATCCGGATATGCCATTTATTTTTCACATTATATTATTATTTGTGAAAATCATAATGGTTTACAATTTTGATAACACCATAAAATTATTTACACACCATTCCCAAATATTATTAATTCAACCTTAATCTCATAACAAGAAGTACAAAATGTCAAATTATTTATAATTTCAATACACTTTTCGCAACATCTTCTCTCATATCGTTTTTAATCATCAGCCTATCATCTCTTCTCTTTCATGTTTTCTGTAATTATCAGTCTATCATCTCTTTTACAAATTACTGAACCTAAAAGGTAAATTTTTATATTATTTTCTTAGGCTTTAATACATATTTCACATACAAACAACAGCTCTAAGAACTGTTCATCTCATAATATTGCCCATTACAAACAGTCAAAAATAAATAAATAAATAAATAAACCTACTCGTACATCAAATAGGCCTATGGGGGGTGTTGTATGAAGCAGTTCCTCGGCAGGAGCTGAATAGAAGTGGTGTTTTGTTGCCAGGCAAACGGCATGTAAGTCCAAGTTTATGTTTTAGCTTCTTCTCTCCGTATTTGTGCCAGGTTCATCCAAGATGCTTCACGTGGCCCTGTTGTCTCTTCCAATAATGAACCAGTTCCACGCACACAGTTTTGATTCCCAATAACAAAGCTACGTTATAAATTGAATTGTTTGTGCAATTTATCTCAAAATTATATAGTTTTTTTATTTAATTGATATAATTATAAGAGTTTATGTTAAATTATTCGATGCAGTTGTTAGATAGAAAGTTAATTATCCAGAAATTAATGAAGGGGTGTTTTTTGAGTTTTATTTTTTAATTATCAAATTTTAACTTATTAAAAGTTGCGCTAAATAAGTTCTATGTAAATTACAATAATCTTATTTGATTAGGTTTTAAAAATAAAAATAATAATTGGTAAGAAAATAAAATTAAAATAAAAATATCAATCAGTTTCATATTATGTATATGCTCAAAATTATTTTTCGTGACTAGTTTTTTTTATTATTATTATTATCTCCGTACTAAACTTAATGTACGTAGTTTTTTTTAATATTAATGTAAAAGTGACAAATATGAATATTTTCACATTGAATGTGGATTCGTAACAGTAGTTATGTTGTGAAATGGGGATTGAAAAATATTTGATTTTTGAAAATAAGAGGTACTAGCAAGTTCAAAGATTTCAAAGGAATAAAAGATCTTCAGATTCTTGTTTTGCCTCAATTAAGAGGACTTAAAATTTTCATAGCCTGACGAAAAAAAAAAAAAAAAGTAAATAAAGTTTCATTAAAACGGGAAAATTAGCGGTACAATGAAATAGTTGCTTTCACATCCTACACTTGGCATTATTTGACTGGTTAATTATTCAGTAATTGTTATGTGATTGAGTTGTATTAGCGGGGAACATTGTTAGGTGGTGTCCTTAAATCATCAAATAATTTTTTTGTGAAACGTTAGGAGCCACAAAAAGAGGGTGACATTGGGCAGAGAGCAGTGCAGGGTCCGTATATGGACGATCCAATGCGTAATCAGTGATCACGTGTCACACTCCACGTTGATGGACTTTGTTCCAATCCCATTATCCATTCGCTCTAACCAATACATGTGGCTTCTTGTTCTTTTCTCAGCAATTATCCTTTGCACTCACACTCACTCATCCACTCGCTATAGTCCAACTCTCTGTTGCGGCCTTTTCAAGCATTGAGTGCCTTTTCGAGCATTTTGTATATATACATCAATCCTCAGACACCACGATCACATTCATACATTTTCCTTACCATTGAGCGAGCTGAGTGCTTTTTAGGTGGCAGTATTGGTCAGTGTAACGATGGCAGCAATACTGATTGGTACGTATCGAAAATTAATTATTGTGATTATAAGCTTTTTTTTTCAAATTATCAACCAAGAAATTAAGTTATTGTAGCAGTCGAATCAACTATATTGGTTGTAAGTAAGCTTTATAGGTTGTGAATTGGCTCATGATTTATTTACTTGTGAGCCAATCACGGTCTTAAGATGTATTATGATGTCACAATGATAAAAATTCAGTATGTATCAATCAATATGATATATACGGACCAATATTTATAACCATGTTAATTGATAGTGAAAATATTGCGTTATCTATATAGAAAGATCATTAATCATTGTTCTTGAATTTTTTTTTCATTTATTGTCCCAAAATACTTACCATAAGTGTTTTGGATGGCAGAATAGTGACAAATTAAAGAGGAACGTTTTTAAGCACACACTAGCGTGGAACCAGTGGCACGCTATGTGTGTTCGGAATGCTCACTCTTAAGCGTTGTATTAACAAATTAAAGAGGGAAGGTTTCAAGCGCATATTGGCATGGCACCAATGATAACATAATCATGTGACAGTGGTGCCACGCTGTGTGCGTTTGAAATTCTCACTCTTAAATGGATGTACAAATATTGCGTTATATATAGAAAAAGATCATTAATCATTGTTCTTGAATTTCTTTTCATTTTTTGTCCCAAAATACTTACCATAAGTGTTTTGGATGGCAGGATAGTGACAAATTAAAGATGAAAGTTTTTAGGCACACACTAGCCTAGAACCAATGGCACGCTATGTGCGTCTGGAATACTCACTCTTAAGCGTTGAATTAACAAATTAAAGAGGAAACGTTTCGAGCGCATATTGGCGTGGCACCAATGATAACATAACCATGTGACAGTGGTGCCACGCTGTATGCGTTTGAAATACTCACTCTTAAATGAATGTACAAATTACAAATCACAATGAAAGAAAGAGAAAGTAAGTGCGTCTTTTAAGGTATGTTCTACTGTTATTCACTAATATTTTTTTTTAATATTACTTGATGGTTGCTTTTGATTTTTTTTTCCAGGTAAGTAGTTGAATGAAGTCTAGTGCAACACTCTTTGGACTTTGATATTAATGCTCCCATTACACAATTATTGCCAATTTCTATATTAATTTACATTTTTTTTTCAGGTGGAAAAAGGTCATTTACTATAAAATTTTATTTTGCAATGGCTAAGAGGGAAATAAGAGAAAAGAAGTTACAATAAATGTTCTAGTATGTTTAAAAAGTCTAAAATTTATGAGGCCTCCAATCCCACTTAACCTCTGATTAGGCAAAACCCAAACTAATTAAGTGTGCCATTCTTAGTGTAAAGTAAGCTTAAGCTGAATATTGTGCAAAAGAAGAACCAGGTAAAGACGGGTTCAGAGATGAAAGAGGGATGTGGATGCTTCTCATAGCCTCATGAATCATCTTCGCGAAAGGTTGGCAGACTTGGAGATTAAAGCAGAGTGCTGGAAAGTAGTAAATCTAATCCAAAAGGCTTAATTAGCACTATCCATTTCAAGCTTTAATTGAGGATGCTAGATTTTTGCTTGGAGGAATGGGATGTTTCATCAAACACATCCATTACAAAGAGAACAATCTCGTAGATGTTGTTGCAAACACAAGAGTGGAACAAGATGAAAACTATTTTGGTATTTGAATGCCTAACAGAGGCAAATAGGTGTATGTTTATTGCTGATATAATTGGAACCGTGCATAAGAGGGCCTTCTAACCCTATCTGTTGTTTGTTTATCTTCTTTTGTCTTCTTGTTTCTTTTTCATAGTATCCCAAAAAAAGTAGCATTTAAGACTGTAATTCAAGTGTATATCACACATGGTAAAGGAACATCCATCTACTATAGGACAAACCTTTGGTTACTTTCTTAGCACAATCAAGATAGCCCAATGCAAGCTCGAGGTATTCCACAGTTTCTTATGCATAAATCATTTGCTTCTAATTAAAGATTTGGCATCGCTTTTTAGTTTTTTTATAAAAATATATTCAAAAAAATAGAGAAAGTGATTTGATAATTTATAGTAACTTTTTAATTTTTTGACTAAAATTTTAAGTCCCCAAACGACAAAAAAAAAAAAAAAAAAAAAAAAAAAAAAAAAAAAAAAACTTAAAATACACAAAACAAGGTTATTTCCTACCGAGCCCACACCAATGAGTATTGTATTCTTATGTATTTTTCTGTCGTTTAAGTTTACATATTTAGGAGTGTTGGAAAAGCTTTGGGTATTACTATTCTAGCCCAAAAGGTAGATCTATTTTTTAAACCTACAATCAATTAAAATATTTAAAATAACTCTTTCTCTCTCATTTATTCTCTAATTATTGATTAATCATTTGTCTTATACATAAGTATAGAAAATAAACTTATATATCATTTTCCAAAAGGTTTTTCCCATGAGCAAGAGGGAAATTTGCCACCATCTTACGACCATATATTGACATGAAATGGGTATTGAAAGATTTTGGTTAGTGAGGAATAAGGTGGAGTGGATAGCCTTCATCTTGGCCCAAACCAAATAAATTTGATTGCTGCACTTTTTAGCTCGTGATGATACACCTCTGTTCAGTAACAGGAGCCCATTGGGCCTAGTGTTCGTAGACTATTCTGAAATTATCTTCGTGGGCCTAATGTTCGTAGACTATTCTGAACAAAGCAGGCTACATCAAGGGATACGTGGGAGAGTTAGATTTAGGTGAGTTTCATCCAAGCCCATAAAATTCACTGAACCCCCTTTCATTGCTCCTTTTATCACCAGTGCAATAATTTTGGGCTTGTTGGCCCACAGTACAATAGTTCTGGGCTGTCTGGCCCACCTTTGGAACCCACTGTTTTTTTTTTTTTTTTTTTTTTTTTTTTTGGGGGAAACCCGCTGTAACATCAAAATTTAATAAAATAAATAATGCGCAACATTACTTCTTTTTAATATCGTTCTTTAATTATGTAGTTTATTGTCCAATTTAGTTTTTTTATTTCAGCACTAATTGGGTTATAGATTAGCATTGGCATAGGATTATTCAAACCGCACAACTGACACAATTCGAACCGATTTTCATACAAATGGACGATTTTGTAGACACAATACGGGCGGATGCAGTTTGAAATATGGTATAATTGCGGGTTGCAGGTTTAACCCGCCCCTACAATAACTTGCCCGCACTTAATTTTTTTTTTCCTTTTAATTAAAAAAACTTGAACCCTTTGATTTCATTCATTCTATCCTAATATATTTGGCCAACACACCAAACTCTAATTTCTTGATACAAAAAAAAATGTTGTAGAGAACATTGTTTGAGAACATTGTTTTTTAATGTTTTTATTTTTGTTTGTTTTTATTTGCTCTGTGAACATTGTAAAAAATTGAATCTACTTCTTCATGGGGAGGAAATTGAATCTGTTAATTATTTTTCAAATTGAAATCAACCTTATATTATATTGAATCTGGAAATTGAAATTGAATCCGAAAATTGAAAAAGGTCCAATCTGCAAACTGCTCGCAGTCGCCCACACATTCACGAATCTTATCCATACAAATCGCAACTCGTACTGCGGGCAGTTGCGAGTTAAATTTTTTCTAAACTGAATACGTATAAACAAATTCAAACCAATCCACAAATCATCCAAAACTGAACAGCAAACGCCCTTACTATAGATTGTCAACATCAAATTCAAATTTGTACTGCTCTTCCGTTCTATTAATTATAATGATAAGTTTTTATAATTTTTTATATATATACATACGAAAATGAGTTGGACCCCCAGCGGGGGTGCTGGGGTCTCCTCCCATTGGTCAAAAACTGTTTTTTTTTTTTTTCCCTCCATTGCCAGCCTCCCACGTGGAGGTGAGGGTGCTAGGGATGCCTCCGTACTAGGGGTCGGAATCACGGCTCATATACATATATATTTTTGGCTCAAGGTTTCTTTGTACACATAAAAAATTGTAAAACCTAATCTGCGCATGTCGCATGCGCCTCAAAGAGTGTCGCTTTTACACTTAAAAAAATATATATATATATCCTTTCAAAGTGCAAAATGACAAGATTTATATGTTAATTTATACGTTGAATTATGGTTTTGAAAATTGAATTAGACCACCGATTAGTTTAGTTGAACTATCGACCGGTCGATGTTCTGGTCCAGATATAACCCTTAAACCATTCTAACTTAAAAATTGGTTTATTTAGAGAGAATCAGATAAATCGATGGTTAGACAGCCGAACTTGGTGACTCAGGAAAGAGTCAAACGAACAGGCCAAGTTGAAGAAATTAAAATTTTTTATTTTTTTAAATATTTTCCAACTTTTTTTTTTTTATATATATATGAAAATTTTAATTATAAACTCTCTTTTAAGGCTTTTCTCTTGTGAGGGAATCTCATTAAAAACTTGAAATTATTGTGAAAGTCTTTACTTATTTATAAGAAAAAAATTCTTTTACAAAAACTCAAATTTATATGAGATTCAATCAAATTTATTGAGGGAGACTTGAAATTTTAATATTCCTTTAAAATTTTTGATCTTCTATCAATCAAATTATTTGAATTAACAATCATGTGAAGGAAATATTAAATATTTGGTTTTCTCTTCGAAAATTAAAATTAGTAATATTTTAAAATATATTATTATAGTTTTTAGCAAAAAAAAACATATTAAAAGAAATATTTAAGATAATTTAATAATTTCAATTTTTTAATTTATAATATTTTTATTTTTATTTTTATTTAAATATAATTTTAATATACTTATAATATTACGATTCAACTCTAATTTAATTCCATGATTGAACCAATAACCTATTCGCGGATCACTTTGGCATCTGTAAGTGAGCATCTTCTTTCTCTTATTGATTGTAAAGAACATCTGATCAGATTAATTTCCAATTAGTGATATTGATGTTTCTATTGTGGGCCACCTCGGAATAATTTAGATTGATCATATCTACCTAATAAAAAAAGCAAATGATTAAAATTAGTCGAATAAAGGGTTCAATTTTTCTATCCCAAAAAAAAAAAAAAAGGATTCAATTAGGGAGAAATTTTTATGTACCGATAGAATATCAAACAGTATTTGGCTCCCTTAGCCAATTGGGAAGGAGTTAGCTTTTTATTTTCAATTCAACCGAATTTCCTTTCAATTATTTGAAGATGGTAAGAAAATTAAGTACCCAAGTTGTAAATTTCATTTTTAAATTACTAAAATTCTTACAATTAAAAATAATTAAACAAAAATGTTAAAAATTGTAAATGAATTATCAAATATTTAACATAATATACACATGAGTGTGAGCATTGCACCAATGTGAATATTCTATAGAATATTTTGTGATTCGTTTATTATTAAAAACAACTTTTTATTTGGCTATAACACTTTCATTTTTTATTCTAAATATTTTGAGTGATGGAAATACATACTGTATTTAACAACAGCAAAAACAACAACAAAAATTGGACCAATTTTGTTTCACCTAATTAAATTTGGAATTCTTCTTTTATTTTAATCTTAAATTGGGAATAATTAAAAACAATATTTGTGGTAGGTGAGCACACACTAATGCCACCATCTTACCCTTGATTTTGTCATTTTCCTTGGTGGATTAATTCCATATAGGGCCATACTTTTTTTTCAGTCTGATATCAGATTGTAACATATTATTGAGTCTATGAAGGGTCATCACAGATCATGTTTCAATAATTTAAACCGTCAATGTAAAGAACTTATTGAGTATTTTATTCTTCTAAAAAAATACATTGATTGGATATCGATAGCTACTTGATAGGATCAAATTTCTGTCAACGGTAAGTATAATTTTAAAAATAAATTGTTGATAAAAAAATCTTATGTATCAAGTAGTTATCGATATCCGATCAACGTGATTTTTATAAAAATAAAATACTCTACAAACTCTATACATTAACGGTTCAATTTATTGTAACAAGATTTATGATAAACTTCACAAATTTAACAATACTGTTTAATTTACAAAACAGACCGGAGATAAACCTGACCTTTCTCTCTCTCTCTCTCTCTATATATATATATATATATATATTGTATCGGAACCTTTTGAATTTGGCGGCTCTTGAGCATTGAAGTGTCACTTTCAATTTCTATTTAAAAAATAAAAATTAATTCATTTGTTTAATTATTTTTTTTGGTGAAAAAAAAAAAGAAAAAAAAAAAGGAAAAAGAAGGGCATTCATATACACTGCTACAAACCCACAGTTAAGTACTGTGTCACATGCGCAGATTGTGACGGTGGGACCTCCTATTCAACCATTTTGTGTCAGATATTTTCACCTTTCGATTGTCCTCTCCTCTCCTTTACCAGATAATATATGATCCAACACATCATGGTGCTGCGACATCATACTATTATGATCGCGACTACAGAAGAATATTACCATAACATATACTATAGGAAGGAGTGGACTAAAATAATTCATAAAATAATTAATAAGATAAAATATTAGATTAAATTTATAATTTTTTAAAAAATTAATTTATTAATTTTAAAAAATAATTTTTTAAATATAACTATTTTAACCAAATTAAATTAGTTAAAAAAAATCAAATACCTAAGTAAAATAACCACCATCTCAGACAAGCGTGCATATATCTATGGGTTGTTTTGGAAAATTGGTAAAAAGTTGGTTTTTGGCTTTTTATCAAGTTTTTTGACTTTTTTGGAAGTGATTTGAGAAGTTGGTAAAAAGCTGACTTTTTGCTTTTTAGTTTAATATTTATTTATAGTGTCAAATCAAATTAAAATGACCAAAATACCCTTACCCAACATAAGAGATTTATTTATTTTTTTTTTTTCATAGGCCCTAATTTGTAATTTTACGGCTGCGTTTTTGGCACTTGCCAAATGGCGTTTTTGGCACTTGCCAAATGGGCGTTTACCATGTTCCCAAAATGACACTATATATCTGTTTTTGATAGCTTGTCATTTCTTTTCTTTTGCCCTTATCTATTTTTTGTTGTTTTGGTTGGGAATGTTTGTTTTGAGTTGTTTATTTTACCCTTAGCTTGTTTGGAAATTTCTTATTTTGTCCTTTTATTTTGTATAATTTACTAATTATATAACAATTTGAATTAAGGTTTTCTCATAAATATACAAACATTCTGATCAATTGTAAAATATAAATCTTTTATTTTTTAATAAATTACCAATATACCCATAATGTTTATTTAAAATATGAAAGTCTTATAATAATACAAATTACAACTATCGTTTGTTATAAATTTTAATTTAACCCAATAACCAGAATAAAAAAAAAATAACTACTTTCCTACACAATAATAAGTTATCAAAATTGTTCATTGAAAAATATTTCTCATATCATTAAAAACTGTTAATTAAATTAATATTTTATTTATTAACAAAATGGTTAACTGAAAGATATTTTTAATATCATTAAAAATTATTAATTAACTTAAGGATTTATTTATTAATAAATTTGATAATTTGTTTATGCAAGTATAATTTATTTATTAATCAAATAGGTCATTTACAAATACACCTATAATGTTTGTTTAAAATATGAATTAGTCCTATAATAATACAATTATAACTATCGTTTGTTATAAATTTTAATTTAACCCAATACTTAGGAAAATAAATAAATAACTACTTTCCTGAGCAATAATAAATTATCAAAATTGTTAATTGAAAAATATTTCTCATGTTATTAAAAAATGTTAATTAACTTAATGCTTTATTTATTAATAAAATAGTTAACTGAAAGATATTTTTTATATTATTAAAAATTGTTAATTGACTTAAGAATTTGTTTATATATGTATTCTCTTTTGCTTATTTATTAGTTCAATTTATTTATTTTTTTAGATGGGGAATTATCTTATCTCTTTTATATTAAAATGTATATTTTATTTTGTTTATCTTTATGCCTTCACACTTAGCCTTACTAAAAAAGAAAAGAATATAATTATGTTAAAATGACAGGACTTATTATATATTTTTTCTAATAGTTATTATTTATAATACAATTTATATAATTCTATTATAAATCTGATGATTTATTCTATTTAATTTCATAAAATAATATTCTTATTTTTAAAAATTATTAAAACATAAAACTTAAATATATTGTAATAGCAGCATGTGCATTGCACGAGCCTTTGTAACTAGTATATATATATATATATATAAGAACTGCTTAACTCCTTGAGATTCGTCTTTTCTTTTTGATTTTACTCTTTTATTTGGAATAATTTACTAATGGTGGCTTGTAGGTTGAGTGAATGTTTTTTTATAATTACGCAAACATTCTTGGTCAATTATGTAACAGGTTTTTTCGTAATTACGCAAACATTTTTGGTTAATTATGCAATAGATTTTTTTGTAATTACGCAAACATTTTTAATCAATTTTGAAATATAAATATTTTATTTTTTAACAAATTACAAATATACTCAAAACATTTATTTAAAATATGAATCGATTCTATAATATTAGAAATTACAACTATCGTTTTTTATAAATTTTAATTTAACACAATATTTAGGAAAAAAAAACTATTCTTCTATATAATAATAAATTATCAAAGTTATTTATTAAAAAATATTTTTCATATCATTAAAACTATTAATTGACTTAATGATTTATTTATAAACAAAATGGTTAACTGAAAAATATTTTTCATATCATTAAAAATTATTAATTTACTTAATGATTTATTATTAATAAAATTGGTTATTTATTATGCGAGTATGATTTATGTATTAATAAAATTAGTCATTTGTATATATATTTTTTCTTCTGTTATTTTATTAGTTCGGTGAATTATCTTAATAGTTTTTTTAGATAGAAGAATTATCTTAATATTTATTTATATTTATCTGTTAAGAAAAGCTACACACCATAAATTTTTTTTAAAAATTCGGAATAAATGTTAAACACTCATAAATTCACCAAAAATGATATGGTAATAGAATTTGAGCCTACATCATTGCGTGTATAACAAATCAAAAAATGATATATATCATACTACATAATTTTATCATATATCTAATAATTTATTCTATTCAATTTCATAGAATAATATTTTAATTTTTTAAAAATTATCAAAATAAAAAATTAAGGGCAAATCACAAACACCCCCTCAAGATTTGATAAAAATACAGATTATTTCCTAAGGTTTGAGAAATTACAAATTGCACCCTAAGGGTCAAATTTTCATAATAAATTAGGAAAATTAGGGGAGAATCTGTATGAAAATAAAAACTTCAGGGAACAATTTGTTATAAAAATATAAATCTTAAGGGGTAAAATGTAATTTCTCAAACCTCAAGAAGAAATATGTATTTTCACTAAATCTCGAGGGTGTTTGTAATCTGCCCAAAAATTAAATATACTCGTACCTTGGCCTTCTTAAACTTATATATATATATATATATATATATATATATTCGTTATTTAACGACCAATAATCGAAACATATAGATACGAGAGAGAGAGAGAGGGAGCATAATACCAGACTCCGTTCATCTCGCCGGGAATCGGATTCCACCGGCAGCTATTCCGACCATTATCTCCGATCGTACGAACTTTAATCTCTCGAATTGGATGTACTTACATTTGTTATATATTATTGCTGCGTGGTTTACTTTATGGATTACCTACTGGATCTGTTTGGATGATTTTGATCGATTTTGGTGTTTAATTTACTATCTTTGATTGAGTCCCGTATGAATAGGATTGCTTTAAAAAATTTAAAACAAATTTTTTTTTTTTTTTTTTTTTGACTATTTTCCGTCTGTTGCAATTCGGGTTTGAACTATGTATAATATTTTGTTTTGCCTCTGATTTGGAGATATTATCTGCTTAATTTTATGGTTTGTTTGTGTATGTGGACTATGTGTGTATGTATTTAGTTCATTTGTGAGGATGTGGAGGATTGCAAGGCAAAAACTTGGAGCTGGAGGATTTCCTGTTCCGGTAGTCTTTCAATCGTATGTTTTGATTTTGAAAAAGGAAGATTTTTTTGCATCTAATAGATAGTATTTAATTTCAGATTTTAGAACAATCCTTGCAGAGGATACAGCAGCCTGCAGTATCCGCGTTGAGATGTTATTCATCTGCTACCAAAGAGGTAGTTGTGGATTATGTTCATTGTGTTGTTCAATTTTTTCGTTTTTCTTTGATGCTTATTTGGTTGTTTAGAGATGTTAGAATTAATTTTATTTCATAAGCTGATTTTTCCTTTTTTGAAAATCATGAAAACATCAATTAGGTTATTGAAAACTTAAAACTTCTCACTTTATTTTTTATTTTTTAAATTTATTTATTTATTTATTGTCAAATACCATGACCAGATTGTAACATATCCCTTTTCTTTTTATTTCCTTTTTTGTCTGCCTTACAAGAGTTATTTTGAAGTGCTGGAATTGATTACTTCATATGCCAAACCAAATTAAGCTTTGTGTTCCAATGTCCATAATAATCGATTTGGGGGATTTTTACGTGTTGCTTGTTAGGCTACCTGACACACAACCTTCCTCATTTTTTCAAGGCCTGGGACCAGCTCTATATAAAAGATTAAGCACTAAGCATGACAGTGGTGGAGTTGGAATTGATTACTTCAGATGCTTTGCTAAATATGAAATACTAAAAGGGGTATTAATGTCTTACCCAAAAATAAAACAAGAAGGAAAGCAAAACCTGGTGTCATATAGATAGTTGGTTTGTATTGTAGTGTTACTAATTCAATTTATAGAAGTAATCTGAAAATGATATTTTCTTTCTTGTTTTTCTTTCAATTTACTAATTCATGCTTCGAGTTGTGCTGTTTTTCTTTCATAGAAACACTGATATTTTCATGGAAACACTGATATTTACATTCTGGAAATTACTTAAACAGATGACTGTGAGAGATGCTCTAAACTCTGCTCTTGATGAAGAAATGTCTGCTGATCCTAGAGTTTTTTTAATGGGTGAAGAGGTAAGGAATTGTGATTGGGGATTGTTTGGGAATATGCTATTTTAGTAACATTTTGACTTTTTACGAAAAGATGTGCAAAAAAGTAGAGAGGTGATCTAACCCAAAAAAGATAAAAAGACAAAAAGGATGCTATTTTAGTAGCATCCCAAACTTTTTGACTTTTTAACAAGATTTCACTTTGTTCTTTCCTTATGTGCCCTTTTCTTATTGCAGGTTGGAGAGTACCAAGGTGCATACAAGGTTAGACCTCTCTCTCTCTCTCTCTCTCTCTCTCTCTCTATTAAGAATATAGATGATGTCCATGGTCATATAACTGTCAATTTATACTACCTTTGTATAGATTTCCAAAGGGCTCTTGGAGAAGTATGGCCCTGACAGGGTTGTTGATACTCCAATCACAGAGGTGGGACCTATTATTAGACTTGTTGTTGCTTGCTCCTTTTGTTAATTTCCATGCTTAACTTACCAAATTATTTTCATTCTCTCTTCTTAGGTAAACTTGATGATTTGAATTCTTGAATTTCTACAATGATGATTGACTTGTGTGTATATACATATGCTTTTTGTTTTTCCATAATTCTTCTGTCTCGTGTATAAATGCTTGTTTTGCAGGCTGGATTTGCAGGCATCGGAGTAGGCGCTGCTTATTATGGTCTTAGGCCTGTTGTGGAGTTTATGACGTTTAATTTTTCAATGCAGGTCAGAGTTGTTTTATATTTTTGTCATCCCCAATACCTTGCAAAGAGAAAATTTCTGATATTCTATTTATATTTGTTTTACTTGGTTGCAATGGTCAAACTTACTTTGGAGCTTTAACTAATAGCTAATTAATTTAAAATCTTGTATCTCAGCACTTGTTGCATATTGAGTTTCTTTTTATAATTTGTTGTGTTCCTTTCTTTTGCACTTAATGTCTCCAAGGGATCTCAATCTTGATTTTGTTGCAGGCAATTGACCACGTCATTAATTCTGCTGCAAAATCAAATTACATGTCTGCTGGCCAAATAAATGTACCTATTGTTTTTAGAGGACCAAATGGTGCTGCTGCTGGTGTAGGTGCCCAACACTCCCAGGTATGGTTCCTCAAGCTTCTTTTGCAAGTGATGGTTCTTTACTCGCTTGGTTGTTTTTTAACAACTAACACGTTATTAAGCGTCATTGCCTTCAGCCTTAAGGTAATATGAGAGATATATATAATTGAAGAGTATTAAATTAGCGTCCAATTTGGACGGTTGCAAACAGTTGTATCATTAAGTTTTCAACCTACCAGTTGTCAATAGGGAGAATGTCAGATTTCTTTTTTTTCCTTCTTCATTTTCACTAGGTATTTATTAGGTTTAAGGTTTGAGTACCTCCAAGTCTAATATTTGATTTACACAGTATTGTTTCTTCTTGTGAACATGTTAGAGTTTCTTCATTACTAATCTCAAATATGCTTTCAATGATAAAATTCTATATCAACAACACACAACCATTGATGACATATATGGAATGTCATGTAGTGTTTCGCAGCATGGTATGGCGCCTGCCCTGGTTTGAAAGTGCTGGCCCCATACTCATCTGAAGATGCTCGTGGACTGCTAAAAGCTGCCATTAGAGACCCTGATCCTGTTGTTTTCCTTGAAAATGAGTTGTTGTGAGTACTCAGTGCAGCATTAAGTTGTAATATATCAAACTTATCCATATAATTATTATCATTATTATTGTCCGATGTGACTTTTGTTCTTCAGATATGGCGAGTCTTTCCGTATTTCGGCAGAAGTTCTTGATTCCAGTTTTTGCCTCCCAATAGGGAAAGCTAAGGTATTTTTCCTTAAGATTATGATAGTTTCTGTGGCTGCTTCTGCCTTCTTGTGTTATTTATTTTATCACGATTCACTATTGTTGTTATTTAAAATTTATTGCCTTCTGTCTCCTAGGTTGAGAGAGAAGGAAAGGATGTCACGATTACAACTTTTTCAAGGATGGTGGGCTATGCTATTGAGGTTTGTCTATGAAACTTTATATAGTTTTTGAGATGTGATCTTTGTCATTTAGAAATATAACCTAACGTTGCTTGTTCCATGGGAGGACAGTGCTTTTGCACAAGAAGTCATCTTAAGTTGAGAAAATGAAGCTATAGTTTGAACTTTAAAAATTTCAGGAGCATCTCTGTATTTGGTATGGTATGCTAACTAGTAACTAGCCCACATTCTACAAGGTGTAGCAGTTTTGATTGTCACTACCACATGGAATACAGAGTTTTAAGGCTTGAATTAGTCTCTATGATCTTGTGACATTGCTTTTAGCTTTGTGGATGAAATTACTTTGAACTGCAGCTAAGCATTCTCATATAGTGGTGCTGTAGTTCCGCAGTAAACACTTTTGTATTCATCTTCGATGAGAACATTAGTGATCTCTGTTGTTTGACATTTCACATCTTTCAAATTCTCGTTTATATTGCCTTTGGTTACAGTTAGTCAAATTTGTGCCCCCCATTTAAATGTAACTGTGTTGTGTGATGTTCAGGCAGCTGAGATTCTTGCGAAGGAAGGGATCAGTGCTGAGGTATAAAATACATTAAATGAATATGGTAGTGTTGGTTTAAGACCTTGAATCAATTCAAGTATCAGTTTTAAATATGGTAGTGTTGGTTTACTGCTTAAACAGGTTATAAATCTTCGCTCAATTAGGCCACTAGATAGGGCCACAATCAATGCTTCAGTTCGGAAAACAAGTAGACTGGTGACAGTTGAAGAAGGGTTCCCTCAACATGGTATTGGTGCTGAAATCTGGTCTGTAACTCTTTCGACGTGCTTTCCTCATGCAGAATTTGATTGTGATATATAATTTACATGTACATAGATGGATATACATATACACGCACACATACATAATATTGTTGTTTTGATTATGTTCTTGTTATTTTAAATAGTGCATCAGTTATAGAAGAAAGCTTCATGTATCTTGATGCTCCGGTAGAGAGGATTGCTGGGGCTGATGTTCCCATGCCATATGCTGCTAATCTCGAGAGAATGGCTGTCCCACAGGTTGATATTGTTCTTATTCTCAACTTTGGTTTGATTTTGACTCTAGAATAGTACTTTCATGAACTTCTCGATTTCCAGAATTCGGGTTCTATGTTCTATTCCTACAAAACCCTCCTTAGGCATCATTTGGTTGTGGCTTAAAAGCCAACTTATTGGCTAAAAAAACCTAATTTTGTAAAATAAATCTTAGCTCATTTGGAAACCCATTTTTTGCCGAAAAGCCCACTTTAGTCCCTCTATAATGTCATTAGAATAGCCACAAAAAGTTAAAAATGTGTCAAACAAACTAGTTTTTTTTCATTTTTTATATATATATTTTTTTAGCATTAAATTTTGTTTCGCTTGTTTTTAGCCAATAAACTAGTTTTTTAACAAACTCCAAAAGAAGCCCATATGATGTTGAGTGGGTGACCTGAGTAATGTTAATATGTAGCACGGCCAACCCTATGGCCAAAGCAATAGTAGCTTTTGGTGAAGCATTTTATATTTCTAAACCACCAGACCGTTCTAAAAATGCTTTTGCTCAGCCTAACAACTTTCTCATTTGTTTGGTTTGTTGGTTTTTGAATCTTCAAGGTTGAAGATATTGTTCGTGCAGCAAAAAGAGTATGCTACAGATCCGTTCCTATGGCTGCAACAGCTTGACCATAGCATAAGGGTCCAGAACTCTTCCAAGTCTATTTGTGATGTACCTTTTAATATTTGTTTTTGCATTTATATCTTACATGGCAATGGTTGTGTATGTTGCTGGTTCTTTTGGGGAGCAAGGTTGTAGATTTTTTTATTATTATATTGCGTTGAATTAGGGGTGGAACTACTTGTTAAACCACACAAGAGAGAGATAATGGTGGGAATTTTGTTGTGTTTTGTTTGACAATCAACATTTTCAATGAGTTGAACTCCCATTGATTTGCCGCACAATGTGATGAACTGTACATATGCTTTTGTTGGCACCCTTGTATTCTTGTTGGCACAATATAATTTTTTTTTTTTTTTAAAAAAAAAACAATAAAATAAAATTGTAAAAGGGGGGGTTCTACTAGTTCTGGTAGTTAGTGCCTTTTTTTTTTTTTTTTTTTTTTTTTTTTTTTGAGCCTAGGCAAACTCCAAAATTATTTCATAGTAACCATAGAAAGTTTGTTTGCATGTATAATTACTAAATTATGTACTTAAAATTTACTTATAAGGATTAAGATATAAAAACAATATTATAAGAACTCAAAAAGATAAAAATATGATCATCTTGCTTTATAATTTAACAAAATTTAATTTACAACTAAAAAACCATAAAGCAAAATTTAAAATTATAATACTAAATAAAATTTGAATTAATTGCATTGCATCCATTACATTTTAAATAACTCAAAAATTTCAATTATTTTATCAATTGGTGCACCATTACAAAATTTGATTAGACTCATGCCGACCTTAGATTCCGTGGTATTATTATTTATTAATTATTCCTTTTTTATGGGCTGCTTTTTGAAGTCAATAAGTATTTTTTTTTTATTTTATAAATAATATTTGTGGTAGAATGAAGACAAGAATCAAGAGTCTATAAATAAAACCAGGCTTTGTTGACCAGACTGGTCTTCCCTCTCTAGAAAAACAAACAAACAAACAAAAAAAAGATCGATCTATGAATGAAGGTTTGAAATTCTAGAAATGCAGTAATTAAATAAAATTATAGAAAGTTTAAAAGATTTAATCGGCGATGCTAGGGGCGAATGCCTCGACAATTTCTCTCTCTTTTGTTTTTGTTTTTGATTTTCTATTTGTTGTTGCTGTTGCTGTTGGTTGTTGTTGTTTTTTTTTTTTTTCCGAAGGATGGTTATGTGTAGGGGTGTACCAGAAAATTAGATATTTCACACCTATTCAGCCTGAGTTAGATTGGTTGGGTGATAAAATTGACTAATCAAATTATGCTTTTTGAAATTTGTTAATTCTATATAATTTTGTACGAGTCTTTGCTTATTGAAATAAAAATATAAGAGAGACTCGTACAAAATCATATGGAATTAATAAATTTTAACCAGTAGCATAACTGATCAATCAATTTTATTATCTAACCAATCCAACTCAACTCACTCACCTTATCAAACCACACAGGTTGAATAGGTACGGAATGTCTAATTTTTTAATGAAAAATGTGGCAGACCCCACCCTCCAAGGACCCCAGTGACCCCCAATCCACGTGGCTGTGGGTGATTGGAAGGAAAGAAAAAAAATTTTTTTGACTGACCAATGAAAAAAAATTGGGGGTGCTAGGGGTGTCGCACTGGGAGTCCCTAACACCGTTATTTTTTAATACACCTCTGCACATAAAAATAAAATAAAATAAAATAAAAAAATGTGAGAATCGAGGCATTCTAGCCTCACAATTCAAGGCCCAAACATTTCGCTATTACAATTGTTGAATAGCTTACCTTATTATTTACTTTCTTTTTAAATTTATCAAAGAGGTCCGAGTAAACAAAACCCACATGAGAATATGGAAACTTGGTAATAATATAGGTATAGCAGAAGGATTGAAAGTGTTGCCGGCAAATGGGTAGACTGCTCTCATTCTAAGTTGACTCTCCCTAATTCCCCCATGAATGCTTCAACGCGCTTTGTCTCTCTCTCTCTCTCTCTCAAGCTTAAACCCATCTTTGGGGCTCCCATGAGACACGTTACCTTGGCTAGAAAAATTTGTTTATAAATACAACATCAAAATAAAATTATAAATTATAATTATTGAATTAATTTATTTCGTAATAAATAATATGTATGCTTGAAAAAAAAAAACAAAACCATAATATTGTTTAAAATAGCTAATAATTATTTCATAAATTACAAGAAGTGAGATTTTTATTTTCACATTAAAAGTATTTAATTCTTAAATTTATCCATACTGATGTGGATTCTTTTATGAAGATCGTTATTGATTTATTTTACCAATTAATTCCTATTTCCTTGTAAGTAAATTATAAGTAATATTTTAATGGTGCCAAGCTTTTTTTTTTATCATATTATATAGAATTTAAATTTGTTCTCACATTTTGAGAGTGTATAGATAAAACACAAAATTTTATAGTTAAAAATGGTAGACCTTTCATTAAAAGAATTATTGACTTCACTTAAAATTATGAATCTTGTTATTTTGAATCAATCAAAAATTGTAACATTTCAATAATGTGTGAAATGGAGTTACTTTCATTTATGATATAAATTTATAAATAATTTTTTAAAATACTCATTATCTCTTATCATAGAACAAAATATAACATTCTTCTATGTTGGACACAATACTCTCAAATAAAATAAAAAAAAAATTATCTAATATATATTTTTTCTTTCAAAGAATAACTCTATTAAAATATTCTTTTTTTTCAAACTAATTATTTCTCATGATATTTTAGGTGAGAGTCAAATTCAAATATCAAGTCTCAATTTCCGAAAATGTTGGGTTAGGCTGGATTGGTTAGAGAGATTAAATAAATAAAAAAAATTAATATTAATAGAAAACCAAAATTGAAAACCACGTGAGAAGAAAAGAAACATCACATTAAAAATTTTATAAATTTTTTGTTTATAATATTGTTTATTATCTCATTTTCGTGATCGTTGGTTTCTGTTCAGTCTGGAATCGAATTGAATCGTATTGTTGGATCTCTCGAGGCTCACCATGGGTCTCGTTTTGATAATCTGAACCGTTCAATATGTAGAGTACTATATATCTGTAAAAAATCACATTGATCGAATATCGATAGCTATGTGATTAAAACAGATTTTTGTCAATCGTTAATTTGTTCACTGTCTAATTTTTTTAATACGAAACTGATTTGATCATATAGCTATCGATATCCGATCAACGTGATTTTTCATAGACATATAATAATCGACGAGTTCTATACATTAAACAATTCAAATTATCAAAACAGAACCCGTAATAAGTTTCCACAGACCCAACAATACGACCAGCCCGATACCGGACCGGAGAGAAGCCATGCCCTTTTATAAATATTTGGTCATTCATTTCGAAACTGTTGTGTGACGTGAGGAGAGGAACCGAAATGCCTCTCTCTGAAAAGGAGATAGCCGAGTTGAACAACAAATTGGTCAATGTAGCTTAGCTCCCTCTCCTCTCTCTCTCTCTCTCTCTCGCGCGCGCGCGCTCTCTCTAGGTTTTTCATTTCTGGTAGTTAAACACAGCAAACAACACGTCTGATCTCTCTCTGTCTCTCTCTCTCTCAAGAAGAAGAGGAAGAAGAAGGAGATGAGGACTTCTTTGAAGAAGCTGCTTCACAGGCACAGCGAGTCCAGGGATAAAAGAGACCGTCGTCTTCAACAATCTCGGGAAGAGATTGCCTCTGCTTCTCAGGTATATTCATTCGCGCCTCTGTTTGTTTCCCTTGAAAATTTTAGATTTTTTTCAGTCTTTGTCCTCTTATGATTTACTAAATGCAACTATTTTTGTTGAATTATGACAGAAGCTATATTCTTGTATTACATTTTCGTTTCGTTATACGAGAAGTAAATGTATTGTCATTAATTGATTTCATGTTGCTGCGAACTTGAATGAATTTGAATTCAATTCTGAAGGGCGATAGGAAAAAATTAAAAGACAAAAGAAAAGATTGGATTTTTTTGAGTTTCCTGGTTGTGGATTTTTGATCTTCCTCATTAGGTTGAGGTTATGCCTATGCGTCTTCTCTCTTACTTACTGTCATGGAATTCAATGTGTCATCTGTACTTTGGGAATGGTATTTTCTCTTGGTTGTCTTTAGCATGCAAATGGAGTTAAATTCTTTGTTCTTGGTGCTCATTATCTCATAGAATTCTTGGATTTCGTTGGTACCTGTCATATAGTATAAAACGTAGTTACAATTTCCTCCTTAAAAGTATAAAACTTGGTTCCAAAATGGTATCTTGATGCCATGTCGAATTGCAGTGGCGTTAATCGTGAGAGGGGTTGAAGGTTTCATATCACGATGACTATTGTGGTTATCTTAGTTACTGATTGTGTGAGGTGCAAATGATTATGAGTTGCTGAAGGCAGGGTGGATGTTTATATTGATGGCTACATGGCAGAGGTGGTTTACTTTGAAGAAGTGATATACTGTAATACTGGAGTTCATAGGTGTTGTTGGGTTAGGGTAGTGCCTAAATGGAGCTGGTAATGATGGCTATCGTTGGCAATAGATTGTGGTGCTTGAAATGAAGGGCATCAACAATGACAACATGATGGTGGTCCAAATGGTGGTGTCTTAGTTTCTCTCTCTTTGCTCAATTTCATACCACCAATACAGTTTGCAAATTGCATTCAGTTCCCTCTCCTGACTTTTGTGTGTCTTGGCCTTATTACTGTGAAATCCAATTTCTGGAGGAATGGTGGTAACCAACAGATTCAGTGGTCAAGTTTTCAATTTCATATATATATATATATATATATTTTACTGTAATGACAACTTAGGACTTTGTAAACACACACACACACACACACACACATATACTATCTGGCTTGAGTGTTTTAATGTCTAGGGCTTTTGGAATGTTTGCCAATCAAATTCTATACTTAATTTGGTTTTATTTATTGCAGGACATGCAAGACATGAGAGATTGCTATGATAGCTTACTTTCTGCTGCGGCAGCAACAGCAAACAGTGCATATGGTATTTAACTGATGTAATTTTTATATTTTGTGTTTTCTTGACTCATAGAACAATGTAGTTGTTTGTAACAAACATATAATACAGAAACTGGACAATTACATAAATCAACTGTCAACAGCATTCGTCTCCTATTATGTTTTGTCTATTGGGAGTGAGTTTATTCCATGGAACATGGGGTTGGGTCCTCCATAGTTGGCAATACTTCATAGGTAAGTCTAGTTTATGGCCTCACTGATGCGGGCTGGGTTGGCTGGTTGCTTCATAATTGTCCAAACCATGCATTTCTGACAATGCTGAAGTCAAAACTTAGTTTCGCTATCCTGCCTGGAAGGCAGTAGCTTTTTATGTAAGTAATTTGCTGTGATTTCTTGGAATATTTGAACTTACGGAAGCAGAAACATAACAAGATGACCTGATTACTTTAGCCCTTTAAACTGTCTTCTGGATTTATTTTTGCTTGCGGGGGGGATTTCTTAATTTTTTATTATTGCAGTCTTAGTGGCAACTTACTTCTATCAAAGTTTTTTGGTGGGCTCTTTTCGAGCAAGAGGTCTCATGAATCAATTCCATTTATTTTCAGAATTCTCAGAGTCATTAAGGGAAATGGGTGCTTGTCTTCTTGAGAAGACTGCATTGAATGATGATGAAGAAAGTGGTAAGTGAATGGAAGTTCTATTGTGTATTTACTTTCACTGGGATTATTTAGAGAAAATATATGTGATTTATAATCTTTTGTATACTTTACTGAGGACCAAGTCTGGGCTTCCTTCTTCTTTCTTTTTCCCCTAAAAATATTTTCTTAAGAATCTTTGTATGCATAATATTTCTTGCAAGCATAGTGATTACTGTGATTAACCTTCTTTTCCCTGTGAGTTGCACACTGGAATTTAAATCATGGGCTTTCGTTCCACTTATACAATTTGTTGGGAGGAAAGCATGGTTTTTTAAAAAATATAATAGGGAAAAGATAATTGAAATTTCTAAAATTTGCTTCTACGGAACATTTTTTGGTTTTTGGGTGATAAGAGAAGATTGATTTAAGTTACATTAGCAGATACAGGAAAAATCCTTCTACTTTGTCAGATGTGACCTTAGCTAGTTATTTAGTTGGTTAGATTTAATTCCTTGATGGTTTGTGTAATAAGTTTTTTTTATTTTTTATTTTATTTTATTTTATTTTTATTTTATTTTTTTTTCTGGGGGATGGGAGCTGATGTATTTCAATATTTATGTTGATCTACCATTTCGTAAAATGTATATAAACAATACAAGATTGAAAGACGGGAGATTTGATACTAAACTTTTCGTGAAGAGACTTTGTTGCACTTTCAAATTGTCTTGGTTTGGAGTCTGCCTTATAGATGTTTCATTTTTATTTATTTATGTATTTATATATTTATTTATTTTGATCTGTGTTGTTTCTGCTCGTATGCAGGTAAAGTTTTGCTAATGCTGGGAAAACTGCAGTTTGAACTTCAGAAACTTGTTGACAATTATGTGGGTCCTTAATTATTTATGTTGATTATTTTAAAATTCTTTCCTTGTTTATGCCTGGGTGATGATAAAGAGTTGTTGCATTCTGTATTTCAGCGTTCTCATATTTTCCAGACAATCACGATCCCATCAGAGTCCCTTCTTAATGAACTTCGAACAGTTGAGGTTTGTTCTTGTGAGCTCTTTGATGTAATCAGCATGTTCAGTGTTATTGGTGTTCTTGGACAGTGCTCATCTTTGTTATCCAATTCTAAATGATCTTTACCTCCATCTGTCCCAAATTGTAGGTCCTTTACATTTTGCGATGTCCCAAAATATAGTTTGCTTTGAAAAGTCAAAAGTGCAAAATTCTACAACTTTTCAAATTTATCCTTTGTAAATGAGTGTGAATGCATTTAGAAGTGGAAAAAGGTAGACTTGGAAACTAAAAATTATTTCATTTGAATTAAAACACTAAATGCTTATTACATTTAAAAGTTGGACTTTCTAATGAATGGGCCTCTCATCTCTGAACATGTGGCATGGTCCCAAATGCCATTTTTGTTTTCTAATTTTTGAAAAGCTACTAAATTTTCATGATTGGCCTTGGGAATAGCGTGAGCTTTGTTGAGGTTGCTAAAAGATAACCAATGAGCAATGATAAAAATTCAGTGTAATTATTTTTTTTCAGTGATGACAATATAGTGAATTTTGTAGAAAATATCTTTTCTGTTTAAGCAGGAGATCATGTAAGATGGGAGGGTTGAATGAAAGAAGTATGACCCACTTTTTTAATAATTTGTTTGTATTCATTTTGCTTTACAGCTTTTGCTTGTATTGTCAGATTGTCCACCGGGAGATTTTTCATATTGGTTTTATTGATTCTATTTCTATGCATTCATTTTATCAGAATATATTATATATATCTATATGGGCATCCAAGCCTTTTGTAATAGTGACAGTCAAAATTGTTTTTCCTTTTATGTTGATGCAGGAGATGAAGAGACAGTGTGATGAGAAAAGGTCCAATTTTATTTTTTTATTTATTGTTTATTTAGTTTACAATGTGAAATGAATTTATTCTGACCTTGGATTCGTGCTCACCAGAAGTGTATATGAATACATGACAACAAGACACAGAGAAAAGGGGAGGTTGAGAAGCAGTAAAGGAGAGAGTTTTTCTTCTCAGCAGTTGCAAGCAGCTCATGATGAATATGATGAGGAGGCTACTTTATTTGTGTTCCGCTTGAAATCTCTGAAACAAGGACAGTCCCGGAGTCTTCTTACACAAGCTGCTCGGCACCATGCTGCTCAGGTTTTCTTCTTAATAATTTAGTGCCAGATGTCGTTTACTTCTTGTTGGATGATCAATGATATGCTTTCTTTCATGGTTGAAACAGTTGTGCTTCTTTAGGAAGGGTCTCAAATCTCTTGAGACAGTTGAGCCACATGTCAAATTGGTCACTCAACAGCAACATATTGATTATCAGTTCAATGGACTTGAAGATGATGATGATGATGATGATGATGACAGTGATACTAGTGATGATGACTATGACGACGATGATGATGGTGACTATAATGTTCATGATGATAGTGAGTTGAGTTTTGACTATGGACAAAATGACCAGGGGAAAAATGTTTCTTCTACACCAGGAAGCTCAATGGAGGTGAGAATTTAAAGTTTCTTATATTAATTGAGAAGAATCAAATCCTTTCTTTTTTTGTTTATAGAAAATTGAAAATTGATATTTGTCAAATAACAACGAACTTAAGTTAGGGAAACCTATTAGTAAAAAGAATTAAACTTGGGGGATTTGTCCTTCCCATTGAAGTTTGCAATCATGGTTTCTTTGTCATGCTTTTATAAAGAAATGAGGCTTTGATTATGCCAAGCTAGATTTTTTCTTCTTCTTTTTTTTTATTGTTAGGTTCTCTTATTGAATTTACATATATTTTTGTTGGTATTAAAGGTTCTTAGCCCATTATTTGCTGCCTTTATGAAGGGTCAATGAAATTGAAAACCAAAGAATGGATGGTTTTTTCTTTTGGACCTTCAGATTAGGAGTTCTCAATTTGGCATTATTATATTAGCCATGATCATTATTAATGCCACAAACAGGACAAATTATTGGATGTTTTCATTTGGTACTTCAAAAGCTCTATCACCACGCTTGTGGTAGAAAAGATGCTTGGTGACACGGTAGTGCTGAGATCATTATGCCCTTAAATATTACTGGAGGATGGGCTAAATGATTATGTAAAGCTTGGACCTTGGATGATGACCTTGATAATCACATGAGGATAGAACCATAAGCAAGAACAGGACATTGTTACTTGCCAATGCACAAATATTTCATGTGTACTTGAGAACTTCTGATTCCTAGATATTTCATGCTCTAATGTAGCTACATATCAACTAATCTATTGCATTTAGCTTTAATTACTGAAAGTATTGCATTCTAATGTAATCTGTATGTTATGTCTTATTATTTTATTATGTATAATTTTTCTACAGTTGGATTGTGCGGGCCTTACATTTCCACGAGTTGCTGAAGTGGATGCAGCAAAGGTAAAGAACATGAAATCCTATTTACACAGAGATAATAAGCTGGGTGTCACATTTTATCTCCCTTGTTGTAGCTTTTAAGCTGATTATTATTATTATTATTTAAATAATAATAATTTTAGCTCCACCTTTTGCCGTCATATTGGTGATTAAGTTTGGCACCAAGATATATGCCTCTCCTGTTTTCATGTTTGCAGGAAAATATAGATGGAAACCTTGGTGGGAATTATTTTGCCTTCGATGGAGAACTTAAGGCGAGCAGCCAATCAGCACCACTTACTGCTGAGAAGAAATTTGATCCTGCAAGGTTCAGACAACTACGGCCATTATCTTCACGGAAGTTTCACTCATATGTACTTCCCACACCAGTTGAAACAAAGAGTCCAGTTTCTAAAGGACAAGGTGCTCAAGATTCTCGAATAAGACAGACAAGTTTTAGCAGGGGTACATTTAACTACAGTCATTCATCTCCTTTAGAACAGAAAAAATATGAAAAAATTGTAGGAAATGAGAGAATGTCAGGACCTGTTGTCCCAAGTCAAACATCAGTACTCAAAGAGAGCAATAATAAAACTACATCAACCAGCTTATCCCCTCCTTTGGCTGAGGAGCTCCCATCACATCCGCATGATCGACATCCTATTTCTGATGCTAAAAAAATCAAAAGACTGGCTTTCTCTGGTCCATTAACAGGTAAGTCATGGTCAAAAAAGGCAGGTTTATCTACCAGCATTCCTTTCGTCTCAACAGGACCACCTAAGCTGTTTTCTGGACCTCTCTTGCGTACACCAATACCTAGGCCATCATCATCTCAAAAACTATCTCCAAGTGCTTCCCCTACTTTCACGTCATCACCTAAAATAAGTGAACTTCATGAGCTTCCTAGACCCCCTGCCAATGCAGCCTCCAAGTTTTCTGCAAGACCTTCGAATGAAATCGGTTATTCAGGCCCGTTGGTGTCAAAAGGTCAAGAGAATCCTGCTGCAAATAAATTGGGGCCCACAGTGGCATCTCCTCTGCCAACACCTCCTGAGGCAGTTCCTTGTAGTTTTTCCATATCCGGGGGGCAAAGATTGACAGTGTCCATGCCATTGGGAGCATCACAAACTTTGAAGATGGACCAGAAGGCTGAAGACATTGCTTCGCCTCCTCTGACACCAATTTCCATACCAAAGATTCAGCCTGCATCTACAGCTTCATAGAAACTAGAGGTAATTAAGAAACCCACTTCTTATTTCCTTTTGAATTTGAAAAGTTTGTACTAAATCATGTTAGTTAGACACTGTTTTAGGTTTAATTAGATTCCACAATCTGTTAAACATCGTGAGGCTGAACTTTTTTGGTAACCATGCTTAAATGATCTTAATTGCGACAATGCTTAGGTAAGCTCATTGATCAGATGATCATGCCAGATAAGCTACATGTTTTTTGTGGCCAAAACCTAGGTATCTTTTTTTTCTGAAAGTACTTTTGATTCCTCCTTAACTCTACTTTTGTGTTATGTGAAGTTGAGGTGAAAACTCTAACTGAGTCATTCGTGATTGGAGATGCCGTAATGCAATAGGACACTCACTATTAGAGTTGTATTTCTAACTAAATAAAGGTTGTGCTCATTTTCATTTGACACCTGTTCACTTGCATAATAGTTTGTGGGACACCAGAGTTGTGCTTGGAACCAGTTGCACAGTTATTGCTTCAGACATTATTGTCACTATATCGTTTTCCTGAGGTTCTTTAGTAAAGAAAATGTGAAAAATTTAAAAAAAAAATCCTGTGCGCTCAATGTAGAATATGTGTAGTGCAAAATAGGCATGTTTTGAATCCAGGTTTGAGGTTTTGCCCTCTCTCACACCTGGTGTCTGTTTCAGAATATAAGATTGTCTTGTCTGCAAATTAGAGTGATGGAGTTAGAAGCTTAGGTCAACGTCTTTAGATTTGCTTCAAAAAGCCCATGTTCTATTGGAAAGGATAACACACTCACAGCTTTGAGCTACGTTGGTTTTTGACCAAATTAGGTCATTTAGGCTTTCAAATTTGTGCTGTTTGCCGTTTTAGAATTTTTTTTTTTTAGCAATAGTTTTATTAAAATTTTTCTGTTTTTGTGCTATTTGTTTTGGCAAGTTTTTATTCTGTATAGTAGTTAAATTTGATCTTCACTCAAATTTTTTCTTAGCAATGAAAATTTCAAATGTTTTTTTTTTGTTTTGACACAGGCACAGGTTGATCTGATTCGATACTCTTCTCCAAATAATTTTGTTCTTCCAATTTAGGTGGGAGACAAAGTGTCTCTCTTATGATTTGGTACAGGTGCAGGTCTGTAAATATGTTGCTTTTGTCTATTTTTGCCCATTATTTTATTTTATTTTATTTTTTAAATTCACTTTATTTATCATGATATGAGCTCTCAGATGAGGAATTTTATATGATATTTTCCACATTTTTTTAAAATAATTAATTTGCTTATTGAATCAATTATGTGCTGCATTTTTAATAATGTCTCTGGTGTATGCTTGTATATGGTTTTCAAAACAATATTTTGGTGCAAAATGTAGTTAGCTGTTTTGTTCACTATTAGATGTTCCGGAGGATAAATTGATCATAACTCATCTATTTGTTGAATTTATTTTCATTTATTTAATTGTACTAAATGTTAAAAAATGTAAAGGATATTTTTCGACCAACATTTTTGGCAACAAATCAAACAAAACACGGAAGCAAAAGCAAGTCTCTCCGTTAGTTGTTGCACTACAAAATCATACAATTAAAAAAAAAAAGAGAAAACTTTCTTCTAACTCTGTATATCTATGTAGTACAATAAGATTCTTGAATTAAACAAACACCTACACTTCTATTAGTGGCAGCACAAGCATATGCCTATATATATATTTGTATGGTACAGCTAAAACAAAGCATGGATTTGAGAATCTCCACACTTTATTATACAAGAAGACTATTCAAAGTGTGATTTTAGCCCCTCAGAGAGTTTTTAAGGAAAAACACATTTGCTTTTGCAAAACTAATGGCCCTTCTCTCTCTGTCAGCTCTTAGTTGCAGCCTCCTGTATTGTATCTCACAAATCCCATCAGTTCCGGTCCTTCGAGTCTTGGATTATTTATAAAACTGCATCCAAACACAAAGAGTAAGTCTCCACACAAAAGAAAGAAAGAAAGAAAGAAAATATGAAATTGTTAAAATCAATCAAGAATATTACCATGCAAACATTCGACTGTATAAGAACAAATACAAAATTATATGAAAAATACAATCATTTGAGTAGAGTTTTCCTATAATCAAATGGTAATGTGTGATGTTGAATGGTGAACCAGACAGACAATCACCTTTCTTCTGTGAACTTGGAAAAAGTGCCTGAGGTTGGAATGGTACCACACAAATCGTTGTTTGACACATTCCTGCAAAGAACATTTATTAAATAAATATGAAGTTTTCTTAAAAAGAAAAAGAAAGAAGAAGGTATTTTGGGCATAAAAATGAAAGTGAGAGAGTGAGAGTTACAAGATCTTGAGGTTTCCAAGCTTGGAAAGTTCTCTTGGTATTCTTCCTGTGAGCCTGTTACTGTTTAGTCTCCTGCATTAAAGCATCTCTCTAATGGTTTGTTAAACCTATTATATTTATTGAGTATTAAAACTTCAACTAAGTCACACAGGTAAGATATGTCGGATCTTCTCTTTGAATCCTTAATGCTGTGTTTGGTTGGGGGATTTGGGAAGGGATTTGGAAAGGGAAAGGAAAAAGGTGTATGAAACTAGGTAAAATGTAGGTATATTTTATTCACATTTCACCTAACTTTTCCCTTTCCCTTTCCCTTTCCAAATCCTTCCTCAAATCTCCCAATCAAACACAGCGTAATTGTTTCAAGCAAATTCTTTATATATGGGAACAGAATTCTATCATTTCTTTTAGTGCAATCATCTTGCTACGATAATTCAACGCTCCATGTTTTAAATTGAATCAAAACGACGCTATTTTAGCTTGTGCAGTTTAAAATAAAAAATCAGTATTAAAATTATTGAATTATGTCATTTTTGAGGTGTCTTAGGCCTTGTTTGGGAACATGCTATTTTAGAAACTTTTTAATTTTTTGGCTAAAATATGAGGTAAAAAAAATTAGTATGTTTAGAGTGATTTTTTAATTTCATACCAAAAGATGTACAAAAAGTAGCGAGCAAATAAAATCTTTAAATTTTTGGTATAGATTGTTAGCTTTTTAATTTTTTTAATAATTTTTTGACTTCTAAACTAAAATATTGAGTTGTCAAACGAGACCTTACTAAGTTAAAAAATCACAATATGATTTAATTTCAGAGAAAAAAACAACAAAGAAACTTAATCCTATCACAAGATGTGGTCAGATTTTCTTTATTACACGATGAATCTCTGTAACAAGACGGTACGGTGAAAACTGAGTCTTGAAAAAGATGATCATCAACTTCATCTTCATCACACCGCCTACCTACAATCCAATCTAATTACTTTTATAGTCCAAAAGGGTGCAACGTACATTAAATGGTCTAATGACTCTGATCCCCAAGTGGAACCAAGTCTGAGCAGACTGCAAATAATCAATACAATACAATACAATACAATACATAGCATAGGTAGAGTAGGAGGAGTGAATATACTTACAGAAATCTGAGATTGGAGAGGGTGGAGAGTGAAGAAGGGATAGGCCCAGTGAGGTTATTGTGGTAAAGATCCAAGCTCAATAGGCTCTTTAAACCTCCAACTTCTTTTGGTATTGGCCCAACCAAGTTGTTCATGTAGAGTTCCCTGTTCATAATAAGTAAAATTAAATAAAACAATTCTAAACACACAAAAATAAAACTTTACTAATACAACATACTAAGTTAAATATGATTTGTTGTTCAAATATTAATATTAGAAAAATGTTTGGGGGCCCTTATTCGGTGGCTCAAATGTGGCTCAAATGGCCAAAACGACGTCGTTTTGGCCATTTTGATGTTGTTTTGTACTCAAAACGACGTCGTTTTGGCCATTTGAGCCACAGAATTTGGGCCCTCTACCATTGCTCTTAATATTAATGTTATGAGTCTATTTTCAGGACACTTGTCAATCATGTTTGGCCACATGCATTTAAAAATGAATAAGCTGTCATGATCTGATCTGACAGGCTGATAGGGTAGGTGAGCTATATCATAAATGATGGATAAGAATTATGGGAATGCCAACCAACATGTACGCATTCATTGGGCTGGATTTGCAGCAAGAGTAATGCTAGAGACTCCAAAAATTCTACCAAAAGTTTTACCAAATGTCTCATATGGGTGTGGGACCCACATGGGACCCACATTGTGTAGGTCCCACACCCATATGAGACATTTGGTAAAACTTTTGATAGAATTTTTGGGATCTCTAGCATTTTTGTTTGCAGCAAAGCAAGCCGAATCTGCATGTGCTGCTGGGTACTTGGGTTTTCATATCCACGTAAACAACATATAACAATTTTTACGTTTGTTACTGTGAATTATATATTGATTCTATGTTTAAAATGAATTATATAAAAGAAATAGTTTATAAAAAAAAAAAAAAAAAAATATGTCTTACTATGAAATCATTCATGTGGTGTGAAATACTTACAGGTACTGAAGATGTTGAAGCTTCCCTAACTCGGGAACAAGATTACCCGACAGCTTTGCATTTCCAAGGTCCCTGCATATATATATATATATAGTTATCTCACTGCTATTATAGATATGTTAGATTGTCTCATATGAATATGATGGAATAAAATTTTGCATTTCCAAGGTCCCTGCATGAACAGGGGATGCAGTGTCCGATCAATGAGATTCTTGTGTGGTTAATGTTACGTATTATGAAAAAAAATATTCTAAGAATGATCATGAAAGATTTTCCACCGTTAAATTATACATACAAAAAATACACCACACACTAATTAAATAAGGAAAAATCTTCATGAAAGATTTCATGATATTTTTTTTATGATTCCTAAGATTACTCTTTCTTTAGTAAGGTAGATTGGTGGGGGTTCAAAGAACTATAAACAGAGAGAGAGAGAGAGAGAGTACTAACAGGCGGGTGACCCGATTAGCAGAGTCACAAGTGACGTGAAACCAAGTACAAGGATCCACCAACGTCGGATCCCAACTATGCAATACATTGTTTGGGTCTTTCACTGCTCTCCTCAATGCATACAGAGCATCCCCTGTTTCATTCATTACCAACAATAACATACATAGAAGAAGATCAACAAACATAACATTATCATATGAAATAATGTTAGTATAAATTACTACATTCTACGACAAGGCTTAATTATTTACCTTCTTCATTTGCAATTGCTGGCAGTGATGATGATGATGATAGTAGAAGAACAAGAAGAAGAACAGAGAGATCAAACATAATGAAGATTGGCATTTGAAAACTTTGAAAGTTGTAGTAAGTACTCCTAATTTTAAAGCCTTTGGCCACTTGAGAGACTTGAGCTTTGTCCAAATACTGATTTCTAATAGAGAGAGAGAGAATGTGAACGAATCTACAGCTTTCTTGGTAGAATTTATAGAGGACTGGTCCTTGTGGGAGCAATATACACTAAATTCTAGTTTTAAATGATGTCGGTCCTTTTATCATATTCATTATTATTTATTTATCAATTTTTAAAATTATTTTGACAGGCTTTTTCTTTTTTATTTAGAATTTTTTATGCATTTTTTCCCCCCCTTGTCCTGTCCAGCTTCTCTCTAGCAACTAGTTATTGGAAAAATTATACCATTACTCCTTGTAATTTAAACAAAATTTTACTTTAATATTAATCTTTCTTTAGTAAGGTAGATTGGTGGGGGTTCAAAGAACTATAAACACAGAGAGAGAGAGAGTACTAACAGGCGGGTGACCCGATTGGCAGAGTCACAAGTGACGTGAAACCAAGTACAAGGATCCACCAACGTCGGATCCCAACTATGCAACACATTGTTTGGGTCTTTCACTGCTCTCCTCAATGCATACAGAGCATCCCCTGTTTCATTCATTCATTCATTACCAACAATAACATACATAGAAGAAGATCAACAAACATAACATTATCATATGAAATAATGTTAGTATAAATTACTACATTCTACGACAAGGCTTAATTATTTACCTTCTTCATTTGCAATTGCTGGCAGTGATGATGATGATGATAGTAGAAGAACAAGAAGAAGAACAGAGAGATCAAACATAATGAAGATTGGCATTTGAAAACTTTGAAAGTTGTAGTAAGTACTCCTAATTTTAAAGCCTTTGGCCACTTGAGAGACTTGAGCTTTGTCCAAATACTGATTTCTAATAGAGAGAGAGAGAATGTGAACGAATCTACAGCTTTCTTGGTAGAATTTATAGAGGACTGGTCCTTGTGGGAGCAATATACACTAAATTCTAGTTTTAAATGATGTCGGTCCTTTTATCACATTCATTATTATTTATTTATCAATTTTTAAAATTATTTTGACAGGCTTTTTCTTTTTTATTTAGAATTTTTTATGCATTTTTTCCCCCCCTTGTCCTGTCCAGCTTCTCTCTAGCAACTAGTTATTGGAAAAATTATACCATTACTCCTTGTAATTTAAACAAAATTTTACTTTAGACTCCAAAGTTTTAATTTTATAAATAGTATTTTGGATGAAAACATACCATGTGCAATTCACGTGGGAATTTTGAGAATTCACGCACAAAAAAAAAAAAAAATACTAGTTTTTTTAAATTTCATTTATTCTTTTTACTTTTACATGTTATTAAAAATTTATGACTGACATTCAACTTGTAATAATATCCTTAGATATTTATAATATTGTTACACCGCAACATATACCAATACAATTGCAACAGCGGTAACATGTGAGACTCGTCTTTTAGGTCATGTTTGATTCACAAGACTAATAGTGAAATATTAATAATCTTATTAAATTAGTGTAGTATTCACTATCCAATTGGATTAATATCGATTGAATTAATAATCCCACCCTATCCCATTACTAATAATCCTACAAATTTGTTAGATTAATTATTCATTGGATTAATAATCCTAAACCGAAATATTAAAACAAACATAGGATAATTGGACCCACGGATTAATAATCCCAATCTCATACTCTAATCCACCCAATCAAACATGTCCTTAATGTTGATGTAATTGTTTTGTTGTGAGGTCAATTTCTCATGACATATCTCTCTTTTCTTTTGTGCATATGTGGATGTTGTTCTGTGGTGGGTGGGTGGGTGGGTGGGTGGGTAGGACATGCAAAATGAAAAGGCAAAGTTGCAAAAACACCTTTGTATTATATGTAATAAGAAGAGACAACAATGATCAACACTTCCTTAAAAGAAGCGACTTGACTAGACTTACCACAACCAGTATTACTTTACTTGTTCATCTTTATCTTCATCTTCTTCTTCTTCTTCTTTAAAAAGCTTACAAAGAAAAGAGCAATCATAAAGCACACCAGAGAAAAGCAGAACCTGCAAAAAATCCCTAGTGTTTCTTCTTCTTCAAAGAGAAAAATTCTATCTATACGGACATATTGATGAGTGTATAATCATTCATCTTTTCTCTGCTTCAATTTCTCCTTTAAATAAAAAAGCAGACCATTGACCTCTCTCAAAGTAATAAAGCCTCCAAAGCTGTTTTCAGTCCCACACCACATAAGTTTTCTTTCTTTTTTCTTTTTTGGGTGTCTACTGATCTCCTCACTTTTTTGTTGTTTAAAATTTTTCCCTCTCCTTTTGTATAATCATCATCACTGGAGCATAATGGAGCATCTCAATTCCAATAAATGAACCCACATCTTCTATCAATTGAAGTTATCAAAGTCTTGCCATAAATTGTAAAAATCCTCGAATTCATACAACATAGAAAAGCAAGAAATAAAGCTGGGAAATAAATGAGGATATGTGAATTGCATAATCAATTTATTTTGAGTAGAATCGGTTCTTTTATTAAATTTAAATAATTTTTAAAGAGACGATAAGAGATAAATTTATAACTTTTGCACACCTTATTCTTAATTAAATGTGCTTTGAGTGCTAAAATTGCTAAGTAGGTTCAAGATCACCATCATAATTAAGTTGGTACAATGGTCAAAAAGGTTCTTTTTGGTTCAAATAATTCTCATTGACCTACATGTTTTCAAGAAAAGCTGGAAGTCGAGTTCTTCCTATTTTTCCCTCCAAATTTATATTCAATTTTCACCTTTGGAATCTCATCAAAAGCAGCATCGGTTATTGTGTGTAGTAGGCTGTAAAGCATATATCACGGAGAATCGAATTTGTAGAGTCCACCTTTGTTTATTTATAGTTAACCGGTCAACTTTCCTTTATAGAACATTCCCATCAACAACAAGCAATAAAATAAAAATTAAAACAAAACAAAAAACAAAGTCACTCTGTAGTTTGCTCATAATCATCTCTTTCTTGGTACCTCTCCATATTGTTCAAATCAATGTAGAGTTTTGGCGATAGCAATTTGGATTTCTTAGGTCTATGATAAACCAAACCCAAATCAAATCAAACCAAGTCTTGAGTCTCATCAAATGAGGTAGGTTATATGAATCTTTCTTCTCTACTTGACTCTATCTAAAGCCATTTTATTAATCTTTTTCACCGCACCTAGGCGTCGATACAACTACCCTTGCTCACTTTTCAAAACGCCCGTAGACAGATGCAACGCGTCACTTAAGGAGAACGACCTAACATTTAATCGATTCAAAAGATTAGATTTCATGTCATAAAGGATACAAGCAGCTTTTTTTATTTTATTTTGATGAGCTTTAGACAGAAGCAATTTAAAGGTCAAGCGTATGCAAATTCCAATTTTACCAATAACAAAAAAACACAGAATAATAAAATTGAGATTTGTTAATTGGACGTAGTATTTAGCTTTTATGTGGAGTGACATAGTATTTAGCTTTTTAGTTTGAGTTCAAGGATTTTAGTGACGGTTGCCAATCAACCGCTATGCGAGTTACAAGCCCACTTGTGGAAAAGTTGGCATAAATCAGCCCCAGTTAATGTGTTTTGGGCTCACATAATATAGTAGCTCATCTGATTTCTTAGTAGATGATATTATGTTGCGATATCACTAATTGAAGAAATTTTTTACATTACAGCATTAAAGATGACATGATTAGATTAATGGAAAATTTTATATTATAGTAGTAAAGACGACATGGTTGGATTAATGGAAAATTTTACATTATAGCAGTCAAGAGACTACATGGTTAGATTATACTATATAAAATAGTGTTACAGTTACAATCAATATTTATTCACGTAATAAAAATTCCTACAACTCTATATAAAAACTGTTAATCAACATAAATAAGAAACAAACTCGAAGAAAATAATCATAAATTAACATTGTTAGGAACACGTAAGTTAAATATAGAACTTAACACGAGAAACACACGACTGGTTACAAGATTTTTTGGTAGAAACCACTTCTCAAAATCCCACCCATCTATTTATTTTTTGTGTCCACTTATGCATACTTATTGATTATATATAGATACAATTCTAAATTCATAACCCAAATCGCGGTACAATTATTGTCCCAAGGAATGTGCTTCCTGTGCATCTGCTATAGCTCACGTCTGAAGCAGTAGAAATCAACCAAACACAACTTTGTAGTGTATCACACTTGTTCATGCAAATATGTAGCCTGGTTATCTTATTTATGGTTTCAACAACTTCTAAGCTTTTGCGTCTTGTATTATTGTAGTGGTTGCAAATCCTTCAAAAACACAACAATACGGTTACATAAGAGAGGTTAGAGTCCATAAATTACCAAAATGTAAGTCTTAAAATATGAAAATTAAACTAGAACTAACAACTACACTCTCTGCTAATTACCGTGACGGTGGACGCTGCCAGCCAACAGATTGTCCGATACATTCCTGACGAACCCATGAAAAAGAAACTAATTATATTTATTTGAGGAAAAAAAATTAAAAAAAAAGAAAAAGAAAAGTGGAATATATATAACTTACATAATGCTTAAATTTCCAAACTGTATGAGTTTAATGACCTTATCTGGTATTGTGCCCTTTAGCTTATTACTGTTCAATCTCCTGCATTTAATCATGCACGGTACAAACAAAAACAGTCATTTTTATTCCAACTAGTATACCAGAATATATTAGTAAGAATAAAAATTCAACATCCATACAAATACATATGAGGCAATATTTAAAACTACGGTATACACATCACATATATGATAAAACTTACATAAAAATCAAGGATTTCAAGTTGCCAAAAGTTCGTGGGATGACTCCGGAGAGTTGATTGTTGTAGAGGTCCAGGCTGATCAAGTGGTTTAGATACCCTATCTCTCTTGGGATGGATCCACTGAGGTTATTACCAAATGCTTCCCTGAAGCCACTCACACCCATATCAAATTCACATATCATATGGTTTCTTATTGTTAGTTTATTGTATCATGTTAGTGTTAGTTTTAGTTTATTATTGTTAGTAATGGGCGCCCATGTGGCATGACCATTAAATTTGATTTTGAATCCTTATCCAAATAGGTTTTGATTTTGAAATCAAGACCATTTAAATTTAAATTTGATCCTTATCCAAATAGGTTTTGAATTTGAATTCAAACCTATTTAGGATAACCACTCAAGATACAGATGTTATCAGTCTTAACTGATATGGATAGATATTATAATACACACATTATATTCCAAAAAAATTAAAAATAAAAGGATTAATTTCATTTTTATCCCGTAAACTATCATTATTTTTTGTATTTCCTATTTAGTCCCTAAAGTTTCTAATTCCTATTCATGTGGTCTAACTAGAGACGATTGTATAAATCAATCACAGTTTAAACTTAATTTGATGGACAAAAAGATAATTTATAATTTTGTCAACTTATAGCATACAATTAAACACCCATTAAATTGGTTGTGGAGGTGTAGTCTATTCAAAATAATAAGAAAAATAAGTGTTTTGTTGTATGGTTTAAGTTCTTCAAATTATGAAGTAACTTTTTTTCATTAAATTAGGTTTCAACTGTTATTGATTTGTACAATCTCCCTAACTACTTGAACAAAAATTAAAAATTTTAGAGACTAAAGACAAAATTGATAGTTTAAGAAGAAAAAAAAGAAAATAAAATAAAAAGGAAGTAATAATTAGGGGATAAAAGTGTAATTAACGCAAAATAAAAAATCAAACAATCTGATAATCATGGGAAATTCTATTTCCACACACCTAATTAGTTCAAGGCACATACTTAATGAAATATTAATTTAACGACAATCATATCGTAAATAAAAATAACCATAATAGACATTTAGTAATATTCATAATATTATATGAAAAAATTCTCTGTACACATCTTTTAAAAACAAAAAATTCTCAATGTTAAAAAATTAAACCCTAGTTTTTTCATTGTTGTCACTTTGCTTATTACACACTACTCTTCTTTATTATTTGCAAAGCAATATTCTCAAAACATCTCTCATATCGCTTTAATTGTCCATTTCCATGTTTCATTAAATTTGGATTAGAAAAACATGCTTATTGCAATATCAAAGTTTTTTTTTTTTTGAAAAAATAGTATCAAATTGGTTCACTTGTCCTATAAAATTAAACACAATCTCTCACTATCAAATTGGTTCAAATTGGTCTATCAAATTTTAAGGCCTCCTCAAATGCTTTCATTTTAATGTCTCTCTACGACTTCGAATGCTTTCATTTTTCAATGCCTCCTGAAATGTTCCAAATGATACCGATTCTCCATAGTACCGATGTTAATGGGAAAAAAAATGAAGATCAGTATTGACATTGAGATTAAATTGGGTTATAACCAATCACAAGCAAAAATTCAAAATTTCTATATATTGTTTCATACCTCTATGTAAACCAATTTGATAGACCATGTTGTATTAGACCTCTCAAGAACCTTCTCGGCCAAGAAATACAGTTCCACACAGTGAATGTGTAGTTTTTCACTATGTAAACATAAAAATCCTAAAACCAAAAGACCAAACAAAAGCTTCAGACCCCAAAAAAATAAATAAAATAAAATAAAAAAATAGTGTGGAAAAGAGGGTTGAGTGGTGTGTGTATAATGCTTATGAGTGAAGGGTATAATTGTAACTTTCAGTGTGTAGATTGAGAAAATTAATTAATAATCAAATTAATAAGTGTGTTATTGTATCATGTTAGTGTTAGTTTTAGTTTATTATTGTATAAAGGTTAGTGTATATCTCAGTGCTATTAGAATATTCATGTTAGTGTTAGTCATCATGAATGTTCCCATTTACTTTCTTCTTTCGGTGCAAATTGATGGCACCCTATGTAACTTTTTCTCTCTATAAAAGAGAGTGTAAATCTCCTAACAATACACACAATAACTGAATAATTCAGTAGCTATTTCTCTCTCTCTCAATCCTCTATCACTCTCTCAAATTATTGTTTCACTTATAATTGATGCAAAATAAAATAAAATTTATCATTGATTTTTCTAATTTGGATAATATTAAGATCAATTCGAACTCTCCTATCTATGCACGATCATTTGTATTCTATAAAATTGATTCATAGAGAGATTCTATGAAAATCTTACAAGTATTGAAGATTGGTCAAATTTCCCAGCTGAGGTACAAGATTTCCAGAGAGATTAGCATTGCCAAGGTCCCTTCAAAAGAACCAAATCATGTTTGAATAAAGATATGTGCACAGAATTGGTGCATAGAAAAATACTCAATAATGTATGGTCCATATTCAACTCGGGTATTGTGAAGCTCACATTTAAAATGAATCTTGACTACACAATGTGCACGTGCCTGGTCCCGCGCAGTGGAGCAAGGATCCTCTAGAGCTTTAAATCTCAACCACACAATACATTGTCATTAAATCTCAACCATACAATGCACCACTCTAGGAAACTTTAAGAAAAAAAGAAAAAAAAACTCTAGAGGATCTTTGGTGCTTGCAGTGTGTCAACATATTGTCCACTTTGGGGTTGGGCAGCTAAGAGCTTGCCCCCTCACAATTTTGTTCCTCCCCCTGAAAGAGGGGAAAAGGCCTGTTGTTGACAGATGGAAGGAGCCAGTATGCTTATAAGGTAGACGAGGAGTCACTCCCGAGTTGATGTGGGATAGACCCAACACAATGAATTTTCTCGGTATATTTTAGCGTTGCTTAATCATGTTTCAAAGTCACTAATTAGATGAAAACTAATCAAACCAACCAAGAAAGGGCACCTACACTCTAATCACGCTGTTCATATTGTTGCAAGTAATGTGAAACCAGGTACATGGATTAACCAGTGTTGGGTCCCAACTCTGGAGGACATTGTTTGGATCTGCCAAATTAATCTTCCAAGCATTCAGAGCATCCCCTGTTCAGTTCAATAAATAAAAAAAATCCATATAAACAATAAAATATAGAGACGGTGTTTGAAGCTTGAATTTGTGAAAGGAAAATATTTGGTTATGTGGCCAAACAATTCATCGTAATTTTCCTAACATGAACACAAGTTTAACTACGAAAATTGAAATTTTCCTTAACACTAATTGGTTTTAGATGAGTTGGTGAAAATGGAGCCTCAAGCCCTTGTCCCATTTTCGAGTCAAAAAGGGTGATTTTTAAGCAGATTGTTTATGTTAAGGGAATAAACAATCCACTCTTCAGTTTTTTTGTTTTCCTTTCCCTTCTTTCCCACCCAAATCCTCCATAAGAAAAGACATTAAAAGATCTAACTATGGTTGATTGAGTAAAATATTAGGAAAGAGAAAAAATAAATGAAAGAAGTCAATTCTCATACCTTCTGAATTGCATTCAACTGTGACAAGAAGAAGAGCGAAGAAAAGGAAAGCCATAGAGTGAGAGTTCATTTGTGCAGAATTAGTTGAGTTGAAGCCTAAACAGACGAAGGATGAAGATCAAAGTAATATATCTCTCAATTTGCTTTGAATTGAATGTATGCAGTTTGGTAATAATTATATAGAAGGTAATGCGTCAACTCTTTCTAAGTTGAATTGGTGTTTTGCATAGGACTGAGAGGTTAATTAATCTAAATACTAATAATTATTTTTGTCAATAAAAAAATGATAATTATATAAAAGATGATATTTGTTTAAAATATGAATTGTTCTCTATAGTTTTAGAAATTACACTCCGCCCTTCCAATTTATAATCATATAATAAATGAGTCATTTTATTAATAAATCATTAAATCAATTAATAATTTTAATAATGTCTAAAATATATTTTAATTAATTATTTAAGTAATTTTTAGTTAATTATATTAAATAAAAAATTCTAATAAGTGAATATATGTAATTTTTATAATTATGAGAAATAATTTATATTTTAAAAAGTATATTTGTAATTTACTTTTATACAGATGACTCAGCATAAGGTTCATCGCCATTACTTCTAAGAGACTTTGAAAAGTCAAGATAGTTGCCCAAATTGAACATTGAAAACCGTCCATTATTATTTTTTTATTTTTCATCTCTGTTTTAGAGTGACCCATCTATTATTTTAGATCCCTACTTATAAATTTTAAAATTCTTTAAAAAAAAAATTCTCTCAAATAATATCAAAATTATTTTTGTAAAAACATTCTACTCATTCAATTGAATGCACACCCTTCACACTCCAAAAAAAAAAAAAAAACACTCTTCAAAAATCCTAACAAAATCCACGAAAAAGAAAAAGTGCCAAGTGTGATTACTATCTCTGTCCTCTCTCTCTCCCGCCTCATCCTTTTTTTCGGTGATTAATGTTCGGTTACCGGTTCCCGAACAAATAATAAATATTCGATTACCGATTACCGAACAAATAAACAATGTTCAAGCCTGTATTTTTGAATTTTGGTCATATGTTCGGGAGTTCAATCTCGAAAAAATGACAAACAGATTTTATTATTATTTTTTTAAAAAACTTATCTTTACAAGGCCAATATCTTCTAAGCTAAGAACACTATCAATGCCATGAACTTCCTTTGAACTTTTATTGTTATACTCCTCTCATTTCATGGAGTTGTGGTTGTCGAAAAACTTCTACTCATTATCATTGTCAGAGAAGTGTAGGTAATCAAATAGTTGCTACCGTTATCGTCGGAATATTACCGCCAAAGGATTTTCAAGGTTTTGAGAGTGAATAAGTTTTAAAGGTAATATTTGGAGAAGATGGATGGGTGGTGATGAAGGTGGGTGATCTCATCAACTCTAATTCATGATGTAGTGGTGTGTGGGTTTAATTGCGAGATGAGGTTTCTCAAAATTAATGATATTTTTTTTAATAATTTTATTTGAGATTATTATTGTAATAAAATAAAAATAAAGATTGAGGAGTCCAAAATAATTCATGAAATGCTAATAGCAACACTCTTGTTTTATTGATAAAAGTTAGTTATTAATTGTAAAATTAGCATTTATAAAAAAAATTTCTCCATCCTTAACAAAGCACCTTCTATGGCGTTGTTCTAATTACCTTCTCTACACAGTCTAGGGAGAGAGAGATAGAGCAGAACCTCTCTATGTAGATGATTTCCGGCAGTACACCGATGACACTCCGATGACCTACCTTACTCTTCTAAAATGTAGATCTATACTTCTAAAATGTAAAATATAGATCTACAATTTTTTATTTTTCTGTACATCTTTTAGTAAAAAATTAAAAAATACACTTATTTAGACCATCTCAACCAACTCCTAAAATTCTAAATAGTAAACTATGCTATCTCCTCCCAACATTTATAGAAACCGTTTTTCTATTAACAAATAAACCAGTCATAGAATTCATTCATTACAATAGAAGTGTGAGATTCACTTACAAGTATAGTTTTGTCATCAGTGTTTCTAAACAAAACTTTTTTTCTTTTTTTTTTTCTACTGAAAACGTCGAATTGGCCAACCAAGTCCATCGTCAGCCGGCTCGACTTTAATTGGCTTCATAACACAGTATCCGGTATTTGAACACGAACCCATGATCGGTTTTCTTCTCTCCATCTCTTGTTTCTCAGCTCTCTTGCTCAGATTAATCTGCTCTTTAATCACAGAGCTCGACTTCTCTCTCCTCCGGTGACTCCGGACTGGAACCGGCACGGCTTCAAGCCCCATCAACTTAGCCACCACCCCTGGCTTGCACCAAACCACACTTTCTCCTGCTACTGTTGGAGGCAAACATGACAGTGTCTTCTCTGATTCTGAATTAAAACCATCCTTTTTCAATCCCTTTCTTAAGTACCCATTGTTGGAACTGCTAATGGGAGGCAAGTTTCGGAAAGATGATCGATACATGGCGTCCTTGCCATCGAGAGAGAATCTGGGGTACTGGTTTAATGCGTTTCTTGCAGATCGTAAGATGTCCGAATTATTGACGCATGACATTCGACGATGCGTTTCTGCAAACTGATAGTCGAGCTTGGCAGTTTTGGCCATTTTTTCTTCCAACTCCAACTGCAATATCATCTCTTCCAGAGTTGGAGGAGTTTCTCCTGAAATTGAAATATTGTCCAAGGACAATATCGAGTACAAACATGATAAATAATAAGCAGAATATTAAGTACATATATTATGATAAAATTGAAAGAAAACAAAACAACATACAATTTGAGAATTTTGTAAATTATAGGAAGCCCAATGTGATATGTTGGATTTTAGAAACATTTCTTTCCCTCCCTTTATGAAAAAGGCTTAAACTAAATCACAAACCAAAGTCGTCCCTATATGGGTATCTAAATTCTTTGTGTTTGGTTGGGGGATTTGGGAATGGATTTAGAAAGGGAAAGGGAAAAAGTGTGTGAAACTATGTGAAATGTAGGTATATTTTTTTCACATTTCACCTACCTTTTCCATTTCCCTTTCCAAATCCCTCCTCAAATCCCTCAACCAAACACAGCATTAGGAACCTTGAATATTTTCATATACTAATATAAATATAATTGCCTTGTAGCCAAACAACATTTTCCTAGCACTCTCCTGGAAGAGGTTGGGTGGTTGTGGTCTCCATTAACCTATAGTTTGTGGGTACACCCTTTAGCAACTGCCCTTTCTGTTCTCTGTTTCTTTAAAAGTAGGATAGATATATATATATATATATATAGCGTACTTCAAATTATCAAAACAAAATTTCTTTGACAAAAAACTTATCAAAATATATTAGAAATTTTGTAAGAGCTAAATAATAAAGCAATTAAACTGCATCAACTTTTTTTTTTTGTTTTTGGTTAAAGATATTTCAAGAAGACGAACCTGACAGAGAGTGGGCAGCCAAGCAGGAGTCATCACCACTACTGTCATTTTTGCGTTGGTTGAGAATGGAGGTGGAGCTGTTGCCATTGCAGAAGCTTCTGTAGCCTTTCCTCATCTTGGATCCGAGAGAGTTTTTGAGGAGAAACAAGGACAAGTCCTTCATTGGCTGATAGTGAATGTATGTGTAGAGAAGAAGAGAGGGGGTTCAAAGGCTCGAAGGAGAGGTGGGGGTTAAGATTGAGAGAGTTTAGTGATGAAGAAGAAGTGTTGATGAAGAAGGAATTATGGGAACGTGAATGGATTGAATGGGAGCGGTATGACTTGTGAGTGACTTGTTTGGTTGTTGATATTGTTTGTTGGATGGACTTAATAGCACTCACATGACTAAAGAGGGAGGAGCTTCACAAGTTTCCTCACCTTTCATCTTTACACAACACACTTTAGAGCAAATGCCTTCATCACCCAACATATAATATAGATGATTCTTATATATCAATCTTTTTTCCTTTTTTTTTACATCATCGGGATATACTTGATAATACATTATTTTTTAATAATTATGTTCAAATAAAAGAATTAATCATGAATATTTATCTCGACTGCGATAGAAATAATAATAAAAAATTGATAACATATAACACCTTTTATAATATAGAACAAATTATACTTCAACCCTTATGATTTAACAGGACATTTCTTGAAAGCCACAATACGATATTTTGAACAAAAAAATCTGACTGTACCTTTTGATTTACAAACCATAAGAAGTTATTTGCTTCATTTTAATGATAAATAGTTCATCTACACACATTAAATTTTCCATATAATGTGAATATTAGATTCAAAAGTACATCATCTTATTACTCATTACATCATGACTTTAAGGATATTTATTTATTTTTAATTAAATACATTTTAGATTCCTTCAATCTATCTTAAGAGAAAGCTTAAGTACACAAAAGATTCTCATAAAATGGGATATAGATATAAGATAAAAAGGCAACACTCGACCATCCCATCGCACACAAAATGAGGGCATATAGTATACGTAGCTAACTGGAATCAAGGGTAGTTAAATGAAGTGGGATCAGGCTTAATCAACAACACTTGTTGCTTCGTCTGCATTTTGGGCTTTAACATTTTGTGGCTCAACAACACTTGTGGCTTAACATTTTGTCCTCCCAACCCCCATCTCCGAACTCATATCATATGTGGAATGGATAGGATCAAAGCCCATCATCTATTTCCTACGTTAGCATATGTGTCCGAAGGAGTTAAGATAGATATCCAATGATCTCTTTGCCAATCATCAAATCAAAAAGCTTCGTAGAGAAGTCCAATGTTGTCTTCTGCCTCTAATCCCCAATGTGAGTGATACTAAGATGACTAACTGGAATGCCACAAATCAACTGATCATGTCATGGTTTCTCAACACAATTGAGCCTACAATTGCTACCGATTGCTCCTGTAGGATTCATAAGCTTTAGATAACACTTGATAGAATAAAAAATTACTGCAAAGTATTTGCTTCTCTCATAGGTTCAAAGTCCAATAAGTATGCAGTTTGTTCCTTAAGAACTCATGCAGTTTGTTCCTTAAGAACTCATAAGCTTTAGATAGCACTACGATAGAATAAAAAATTACTGCAAAGTATTTGCTTCCCTCATAGGTTCAAAGCCCAGTAAGCATGCAGCTTGTTCCTTCAGAACGTTAGCATCATGCTCAGGTCCAAAAGCTTTCCACCTCCTAAGCAAAACTCAAACACAAACAGTACATGTAAGACTCATCTTTTGTCTCACTTGTGCCCCTCTTTCCTAGAGCATAACTATTATCTTAAATCTCATATTGAAGCATCATTTTTCAATCGTAATACACATACTGATATTCTTGTTAACAAATGCCACTCCAATAAAAGAAAAAAAGCGAAGTGCCAATACAACAAAAAACACAACCATTTTTTTTTGATTCAAAGGAAATAAAAACACAACCATTACAACTAACACATAAATGCAACTAAAAATTACAAAGAGTAAATCCACAAAATGTTAAGCCATCCAGAAAGATGCCTGGATGGATGGAATAATATTAGAAGCCAACTAACTAACCAGCAGAGTACTAATTGATTTGTATATTGGAAAAGAGAAGCGGTTGCTACTTGACCAACCAAACCTATCAAAAAGATGTTGGCTGGCTTCACTTCACACACTGCATAGCAGAGGTCTGGTTGAGGGTAACACCAAACCATGGTTACACTATCTACCTATTCAGGACATACACACACAGTAATCATTATGAAATCCTATCCTCGCACCCAGAAGTGGTTAAAACAGGTATAAACAATTACTACCAGTCTAAGAAGATGCATGCAGATTAAACACACAAAAGCCACCAAGTCTCTTCCATCATAAATGTGCTTTACACATAACATCCCCATCCACAATGGTTTCTATCACCCAAAAAAGACTTGCAATATCCATAATACCACTGACTAAGAAGCACGGACACTTTTAAAAAGTTAACGTATCCGTGTCATGTTCGTGTCGGACACCGACACTCTTTGGACACTTTCCCGACATGTGTCCGACACTCTTCAAAATGTATCCTATCTTTTAAAAACCAGGACACTCTTCGAACACTTGGAGGACATACGTGTGTATCTGTTAAACACACGTATCTATCGATTAGACACATGTGAAACTAATTATAAGTACGAACAAAACAACTTAAGATATGATAATAAAACAAAAACCATATAAATTTATAGGGATTAGTGTCATATTGTATTTTTTATTATCTTTGAATAGTGTATTCATATATATAACATATAATAAATATATAAAATTATATATTGCATGCGTGAACCCTACGTGTCGTATACTGTATTTTTTGAAAATTTGCGTGTCAGCATGTCTGTGTCGCATCCGTGTCATGTCACGTGTCCGTATACGTTCCATGCTTCTTAGACCACTAATAAATAAATTAAAGTCAAATCAATCTTCTTTTTTTCCATTTTTCACTCTCAAATAGATGATGAATCAAACTATTATGGTGTTGATCAGCTTGAAATATCACTAGGTGTCATATTGTATTTTTTATTATCTTTGAATAGTGTATTCATATATATAACATATAATAAATATATAAAATTATATATTGCATGCGTGAACCCTACGTGTCGTATACTGTATTTTTTGAAAATTTGCGTGTCAGCATGTCTGTGTCGCATCCGTGTCGTGTCACGTGTCTGTATCCGTATCCATGCTTCTTAGACCACTGATAAATAAATTAAAGTCAAATCAATCTTCTTTTTTTCCATTTTTCACTCTCAAATAGATGATGAATCAAACTATTATGGTGTTGATAAGCTTGAAATATCTTAGGCCTCGTTTGGCAAGAGGCTATTTTAGCCAATTAGCCAAAAAGTTACTAAATTAGCCAAAAAGCTAACAACCCATACCAAAAAGTAAAAGATTCTCTTTTCTCTCTACTTTTTGCACATTTTTTCGTAATGAGCCAAAAAGTCATCCCAAACATACAAGTTTTTTTTACCTACCTTTTTAGCCAAATAGCCAAAAAGTTACTAAATTAGCCTGTTCCCAAACGAGGCCTGCTGATAAGATACTTGAGAAGTTTAGCAGATCAAATATGAGTGTGTCACCGACACCTATACACTTAAGTCTACAAACTTATGCTCAGAAAAAGATAATTCAGAAGGAATTTAACCATCTGGAGCTTCACTAGCCTTCACAAATCGACCCTTAACTCGCTTCCTGGTATCTGCTCTCGCCTTTCTTGACTCGTACCGGATGTGCTTATCGTATCTATATATGATATATAAGTATTAAGAAGTTACAAATTTCAATTTTCTATAGTAACACTGTAAATCAAATGAAACATTGTAAAAGCGGAATAACAGTTCTATGTACCTTCGGTTTTTCTTCTTCTCTTTGTAACGCTGCATGGCATTGCCTCTGTTTTGCGCAAGCTGCTCCATGTCAGCCTTCGTTATTGCTGCTGTTGGGGTCTCGCCTCTCAGCAGAACAGAGCTTTCTGTAAACTGGATATCCTTTGAGGCACTATAGCCTTTTGGTTTAATGAAAGCTAAACCTGATGAGGGTCGTCCTATAGGTAAATTGTTGCTCTCTGATGTTGCAGGCCCATGGCTTGCTGTTGGCTTATTTGCGTTTTTCTGCATCATTAGTAGAACAAATGAATATTCACTAGGCCAGTAAAATATTTTAGGACATAGAATGCACAATTCCTATCCAAATCAAATCAGAAGAACACTTACTTAACACTACTGATCATACTAGCAAATGGTGATCTCCACCCTTCCACAAGTGTCACACACTTCAACATGCCATTAACCGTCCATTGGGTCTGCCTGACAAATACTTTTGTGTTTCCTCTCATTCCATTATAGTACTCTCAAGTATTGATATCTCTTCGTAATCAAACATGACAATCATTTTGGTGACCAATTTAATATTCATCAATCACTTTATAAATCTCTCACTAAAGGCTACCAGTAATTGATCATTGTATGTGTTCCACACTGGATAGTTTGCTGTGAAATTGGGATCCCAACCCACCTTAGCAAACTCATCAATAGAGACCTTAGAAAGTGCAGATTGAACATCTCGGGTAGGAAGTTTTTTAGCATATCGATGGCCTAATCAAGAGACCATATCTTATGACCCACACAAAACTGAACACAGATTTGAGCATCCTCAAAACAAATCAAGTCAAAAAAGCTAAACTGCTAAATAAAGAATGTTTATGACACAATCCCAACGCAATTGTAAATGTAATCTTGCAAGCATGAGATTGAGATATTTGAAATAACAGATATCAATGGTTAAAATAGCTTACATGAAAAACTGTGAGATCCTCGTGTGTCATAGAGCAATTGGCCCCATAAATTTCCCCAAACCCTTTCGTACTAGCCAAGGATGCTTCTTTCAAGAGTTCATCATAACTTTTCATCATAAATCCTGCATCACTTGTACCATATCCCATTTCCAATGGACTGGATTCATCATGACCCCTTAACCGGCCTAAACTGAAATCCCATATCTGTATAGACAATGCAACAATGAAAACTAGTACAGTGCATCCACTTGGACCAATTGCTTCATTAAGTCATAATTAAGGCCTCGTTTGACAACAGACCGGTTTAGCCAAAAAGTCAAAAAGTCAAAAAGTTACTAAAAAAGTCAAAAAGCAAACAATCCATACCAAAAAGTCAAAGATTCTCTTTTCTCTCTACTTTTTGCACATATTTTTATAAGAAGCCAAAAAGTCATGCCAAACATACTAGTTTTTTTTAGCACATATTTTAGCCAAATAGCCAAAAAGTTACTAAATTAGCATGTTTCCAAACGAAGCCTAAGCAATAAAAAAAAGCAGGAAAAAAAAATTGGGAAGTTGAGATTGAAAATGAGTAATTAGGCAAAGTCCCACCTATAAGATGAATTGGTTTTACCCCCACAAACATACAAGCCATAAATTTGAAGGAACAGTTTCGACCATAAATAGTCTTCATTGGTCTTGTTTGGGAAGTTGGCTATTTTAGCAAGCTATTTTAGTTTTTTGCTATTTTAGTAGGATAAAATTTGTGTTTAGAAAGATGGTTAGATTTTTTTGTAATGAAATGTGATGTTTGTGAGAGAAAAAGTGAAATGATTATGGATTTAAAGTAATATTTTGTTTTATTGATTATTTTAGCCTATTTTGTTTTTTTATGAATTTTAGCCTAAAATTGACTATTTTAGTCTTTGCCAAACAAGGCCATTAGCAGAAAACTGCAAAGGGTCATTGATGTATCGCTGGTGTCACAAATCAAAACCAAATAAAAAGAAACCAAGCAAAAGTTGGGTAGTACATGGAGGTTGCACTTTTCAGGGTACTGTTTAGTGTGTGTGTTTTTTAGGACTACGGACTGTTCCTTTCCAGCTCAGGAAGTGGGATATGCGAAGGAGATGCTTTATCCAGATCTAACGTCTCCAACAGTTTAGATATTAATCTTGTAACACAAGTGTTGCAACTTTTGCTAACTTATTATAAGCTTTTTTTTTTCCTTTTTTTAGAAAAAATAAAAATAAAATTAAGGTAATTTTGAACAGCAGACACCTCCCTGTATTACACATAAATGTTAAAGATCTCAATCACCAAGGATCTAGAGTGAAATTTTTTTAAAGTTTCCTATAGTACTACATTGTGTAGTTGAGATTTACTGGCAAGTCACATCACACAAACTTTAAGGAAAAATCATGGATCCTTGCTCGATCTCAATGACTTTTCAGAGAAAAATAGGCAAGCAACAAATTGGAGATAAAAGACCATCTGCCTCCATCCAGGAGCATTAAACAGGAAAATTATAATTGAAACTGAAGATGAGATGAGGAAGAATAGTTTCAAAGACAAAACCTGAGTACCCTGACTGTTATGATTAGTGTCCCAAAACACGTTCCCTTGAGCAATTTGATCGCCACTTTTGGGATCGACATGGGTTTGCATCATAAGCAGAGAAGTAAAAGGCGTTTCATGTTGTTGTTGTTGTTGTTGCAATGACTGATTCACAGGATCTACAACCTCATCATCACCCCCACTTCCCAGATCAGCACCTTCAACATTCGCCTGCTGCCAATCACTCTGATTCGGAACTAAATTCTCACCACCACCGCTGCCGCCGTTATCATCATCCACTGCCACTACCTCCGTCTTAAACAGCTCCATCAACTGCCTCAACAAGACTTGATTTTGCTTCCCACAGCTCGGACTCTGCCTCTTCGAACCCATCTCCGAGTACATCATTGCATTATTCCCACTCGGAACCATCAAATCTTGCAGCGTAACACCCGCAGCAGATTTATACATCCACGAATCGAAATTCACTCCACTGGAATCCTGAAAACTCCAATTCGGAATCGATGGCAATTGCGATTGAGGTTTTTTGTCCTCCAAATCGATACCCAAAGCCGAAGCGAGCTCGAGAGCAGAGGGAGATCCCGAGAAACCCTCGACGGGGTTGCGATCGTGTGAGGCGGAGACGGAGCAGCTGCCGTGGGCGTCCCAGTCGCAGTCGTGGCAGAGGAGGAGGTTGTCGGTGGCGCAGCGGACGGAGACAGGTTCGGAGCCACAGTTGTCGCAGATCTGAGATCGGAGATGCTTACGAGAAAGAGCGTTGGCGGAGTGGACGTGTTGGTCGCAGAACAAGCAGAGCTTGGCCGAGTCGGCCCGGCAGTAGAGAACCGCAATCTGGTCATTGCAGTAATCGCAGGGAACGCTCTCTCCGGTTCTCGATTTGGGGCTAACCATTTCTCTCTCTCTGTGAAAACCCTAACTGGGAGCTTCAAAACCCTAGAACTAGAATTCAATAATTTTTGCAGAAGCTTTGTTTGTTTTTGTTAATAATTGTTTTTTTTTTTTTTGCCTTTTTGTTGTGTGAAATGGGAGCACATGAGAAGCTTGGGCTAGTTTAGTTGTTCGCTTGTTGAGAGAGAGAGAGAGAGAGGGGGATAGAGAAAATTATTTTGATCAAATCATTCCAAACTCTAAAAAAAACAACTCTCCCAAAATATACAACCAAACAAATCAAAAAAATTTCTAAACTCTCTCCTCAATTTTTTTTCCAAAAATAACTCTCTTAAAAACAAACCAAACAAGCCCTTTATGTGCCGGCTGTTTTTTCTTGTGGGTGAAGGACTCTTCTCGATTGTTGCTTTAGTTTTATTTTGAGAATAAATTATTTTAGTTAAAAATTTAAAAAATTATTATAAAATAGTTATTTTTATTTATTTATTTATTTTTAGATCAAGTTTGACATCTTTAAAATAATTTATTTTTTTTATTTTTTTTTATTATATTATTTTTTTATATATCTTTTTATAAAAAGATAAAAAGTATAATTATTTAGATTATTTCAAACAATTCTTAAATTCTATTTGTGAATTATATATTTTAATTAAAAAATTATAAATTATTACATTATTTTTTAAAAAATTTGATTTGCACTTTTTTTTATAAAATATTAATAAATTATTAAAATAACTTATTTTTAAATGAGATCTTAGTTTTTGAACAATTATGTTAGATTTAATCCAAAAATTATGATTTATTTGTCTTATTTTATTTTAAATAATTTTTCAAATGGTGAATTTTGATTAAAGACTACATATTTTTGTGTGACTGGTCATTATTATTGATTGAAGATTAAAGTTTAACTTAAATTAGCAGATTATGTATTTTTTTAATTAATGAATTATTTGCCAAATTATTTGTTGTAAACTTGTAGATTATTGAATTTTTAATTTAGAATAAACTGCAACAAATAGATTTGTTATTTGTCCACGCCAAGATCCTTGGTCAATCTTGAATATATACATACGTGATTAGTCTTTCTTGACTTAAGGTTGGTGGTGTTTGTTTGGGCTTTTTTTGAGCCAGTTTATGACTTTGATTTTTGAAAAGTTATTTTGGACTGTTTGGTTAAACTTATTTTAAACAGCTTGTAATTCTAGCAACTTATTTTAAGTCAAAAAAGCTAATTCTGAGAAACTGCTTACCCCTTGCTTCTGATTATCAGTTTCTGCTGTGAACATGTTAATTTACGGTTATACTCTTAAATTTTTTTATTTTTTATTTTTTTAAAAATAGAAAAAGATCCAAATAGACTATAGAATATTATTATTATTTTTTATGAGAAATATAAACAAGTAGTGAATAATAAAAAATAAAAATTAATTGAAAAAGTTACTTCACACCTTATTTAACAAACACTACTCAGCAATTTAAATCTATAATTTAACAAGTACACCAAACAAATTAACAATTTCTGATTAAAGTTATAATTTATAATTTATTAAGGTATAATTTATAATCTATTTTAACAGTTACATCGAAAGGGCCCGATAAGCATTAATACTGTCAGGCGTAAGTTGAAAAAAAAAATAATAAAAATAAAAAGAGTAAGGCGCATACCCATTTGGTTAGAGCCAATATCAAGCCTAAAAATTATATTTTAAGTATGATCTTAAAATTTTATGATAACTTTATGCTCAGCATAAAATTTTATATTTTTCATTATATTAAAGCTTGTAGGACCGAAATGGTGAATTTTCAGTACGATCGGCATACCATTTGTGTATGGATATGGCCTCTGTGGATGGCCACGGTGATACCTCCACTAATGGGCAGTCGCATAAACAGTTCTGGCGAGGTTTTTGGCGGCTTAATTTACCGACCAAACTTAAGATTTTTGGATGGAAAATGTGCCTTGGGTTGTTAGCGGTAAGGGCCAATTTGCGGCAACGTCATATCGTCAATATGGACTTATGTCCTAGGTGTGGAGAGGAGATTGAATCGGTAGGCCATTGTTTTCACAATTGTGGCTTTGCCAATTGAAAAAGTTACTTCACAGCTTATTTAACAAACACTACTCAGCAACTTAAATCTATAATCCAACAGGTACACCAAACAGATTAACAGTTTCTGATTAAAGTCATAATTTATAATCTGTTAAGGTATAATTTATAATCTATTTTAACAGTTACACCTAAAGGGCCCGATAAGCATTAATACTGTCAGACGTAAGTTGAAAAAAAAATAATAAAAATAAAAAGAGTAAGGCGCATACCCATTTGGTTAGAGCCAATCAAAAATGATTTAGACCTCTAAACGAAGAGCTCTAATGGAGCATTAATTTGTCTTCTTCTTCCCTTTTTTTTGTCTTTTACTTCACTTTTTTTTTTTTTTTTTTTTTCAAATTATTGGCTGACAACTCATTAGAGCTGCCCTTTTGCAGCTCTAATTAGTGCTCCGGAACATGACCCAGAGCCAATATCAAGCCTAAAAATTATATTTTAAGTATGATCTTAAAATTTTATGATAACTTTACGCTCAGCATAAAATTTTATATTTTTCATTATAGGATGTATTTCCATTGAAGGGTATTATTTTATTTAAAAAAATTAAATAAAAAGTATAGTTCACAAAACATAAAATAATTTAATAATCAAGTTAGCTACTAGGATAGGCCCGGCTGGAGCTGAAAGAGTATTTCAAAGCCAATCCACATTATAAAGTCTCGTTTGGTAAGTGAAGATTTTAATTAAAAAGTCAAAAAATTATTAAAAAAAATTTAAAAGTTAATAATTTATACCAAAATGTTAAAAATTTCATTTTCTCTTTACTTTTTTTACATCTTTTTCTAAAAAATCAAAAAGTCATTCCAAACATACTAATTTTTTTACATCATATGTTAGCCAAAAAGTCAAAAAATTACTAAAAAAGCATGATCCCAAACGAGGCCTAAATGTGTTTAAAAATTTAGTTGTCATTTGGCAATTGATTTTTTTAGTTAGTTTTTGATTTTTTTTGACTATTTTAGTTTGGGATTAAAAGTTTGTTTGGTTTGGTTTTATTAACTTTTATGAGAGAAAAAGTGAAATAATTATAATTTAAATATGATATTTTATCTTATTAACTTACTAGTATATACCAGTGCCTAAAGGCACAGTGAAAATAATGATGGGATTAATCTTCTCCTGTCTAATCTTTTATGTAGTATATGAAAAATTTATTCACAAAATAATTTCGAAAAAAAATTTGTTCTTTTCTTATAGTATCACTATTATTATTATCCAAGCTATCAACTTTCTTGCTCTAATTGAGGAGGTTGGTCTCATTTGAATTTCGGCTGAAATTCAAAAAGAATATAATCTTAGTGATTGCAATATTAACAAACCATCTCTCATATAATGTTTAAAAAGAAAAGGCATGGAAAGAAAAATCGTGCTCTGTCACTCACCCCTATTGTACAAAATTAAAGTATATCAAAGGCCAAAATATAGTAAGAAAAATGTATCAATTAGTTAAATAAAATGTATGATTAACAAACCCATGAACATATTACACTCAAGTCTCAGTGATATTGCAGCATTAATTAGTTACAACACTCATTCCACTTTCCTAAGCTTAAATCTCAGACTCTTCATATTACACTTCTCTTTTGGTAAAGCTTAGTTAATAAACCAATTACAGAGAGCAAAAAACAATAGAAAGTAAAAAAAAAAAAAATAGAAACTAAACCTTAATTAACAAAGCCACCCTTCTTTGGGCAATCAACTAACCCTCCAATCAAGCATATATGTCTATGGATTATACCAATCTCAAAAGATCAAGCACTATCTATAATAGTTGCAAAAGCAAAAATCATCCAGCACTAATTGAAAGTTCTAAACACATTATTAGATTTTAGCTCTTAAACACATTATCAAACACTAATGTTTATAAATGACCCCCTCCATCATCAAGCACATTCAGCAAATATATTTAATTTCTAAACTTAAGCATGTCAGTCTTTTAGAGACATGGAATTCAGCACTTAGGTAGATAACTTTTCAAGAAGCAATTTGTCTCACACCATTTTATTCATTTATCTGCACTTTTTGCCTCCCTCTATCTCTACTCCCCCTCATCCCACACCCACACACCCTCTTTATTTTTTAATCTATGTAGCAAATATTTTATGCATCCAGACACGTGGGGTTTGCCCGGGAAACTACTATATATCAAAAAAATGTTTCAAAGACACATCCATATAGAGGCCAAAACAAAGAGAGATTTACTGACCAAGAAAAATGCTCTTTCTTTGATAACCTTTATGGATATCTTTGGCACCACAATGCAAGGAGCATCCATTTCAAAAATCCTCAAACCACAATCTCAAAAGAAATATTTCATAGACTCACAACTAAGATCCAATTGAGAGCATTCAAACTATTTAGAAGTAATGCAAACAAAAAAGCAAAAAATTGCTAATTTTTTTAGTCTTTCCCAAAAACAATAAATAATAATAAAAATAATTAGCAAATAGCATATTATCCAAAAAATAGATAAATTCATAAACTTAATCCAGTCAAGAAAAAGGAAACCTTTTCCTCACCCCAATCAAAAGTTTAGCAAAGGGAAACTTTTTCCTCAACCAAAAGTTTGATCATTCGATTAATCTTCCCTCATCTTCCATTCCCTGTGAACTAATAAACACATCAAACACATCAAATAGAGAAACAATTTATCAAGCATTTGGTGAACATTGTAGTAATAGAAATTATATAGTGGTAAAACCAATTATTTTGAACTTTAATTACTGCAAAACTTCAATTATTCCAAGTGACATCATGAAGTTGGTCTTTGAACTATGGAAATGGAGTAAAAGATTAAATTATCAACTTACAACATGAATGTACAAAAAATAAAAAATAGAAGCAAAAAAATGGATGAAATCTTGATTACCTCTATTGATGGAGCCTTTACAACTATTCTCCTCACCAAATTCCAATGCCTCCGTCACATGTACAAAGCATTAAGAATAAAAACATCAGCCTTACATGAATTGATAATTTCTTTGCAACACTCTAGTTCAAAAAAAAATTGTGCATTGATTTTAGGAGAAAATATCTCTCATACTTAAAACTAATTCCCTGGATAACAACTACCAAAAAAAAAAAAAAAAAAAAGGAACTGATATTAGATCAAAAAAAAAACAGAAAACTAAACAATAAAAGACGGGTGTGTCCAACACAGATGAAGGAGCGGAAGGGTTTGCACAATTCGAAAAGAAGATTCATCTTAATTTTACATATATATATCAACAACAACAATAGCAAAAATAAAGAAATCTATAAATAAAGCAAATAAAACTCCACTGACTTATGGATATAATGTTAAAGGGAATAAAAAGATATGAACAACTAACAAAAGAGGGAGGGAGAAAGTCAAAAGATGGCATATAGTCAAAAGAAACCCCAGACGACATTTACAAATCAAACGAAAGGAAACTGATAGTTATATTTTCCATTTTAATCGACCATAATGAATCTAAGGAAAACTTTAACAGAGATACATAGTAGGATCAAAATTTAAATTAAAAAAATAATAAGAAATAAATAAAGATTAGTCATGCATTGTGTTTTAATATGCATTATGAAGCGTAAATATAGTGAAACACGCATTACTTTATCAACATAAATGGGACTACGAAGCATCAATCATAGAGTACAGAACTAAGAGCAGTCATATAATTCATATTTCGACAAAAGTTACTATTGCATTCCCATAAAAAAGACAAAATGAAGTAACCAAACAGGCATAGTAATGAATTTGAAAGGTAGAGGTACCTGCATGAGAAGGTTAGATAGGAGGCGATGATTAACTCCGGTAGATGCTAAGGGTGAGGCTAGATGTTGCAACTTGGTAAATTGGAGCCAGCGTGCCATGACTACATCTCCAGCATCGCTTCCTGGACAACATTTACAAATCAAATGAAAGGAAACTGACAGTTATATTTTCCATTTTAATCGACCATAATGAATTTGAGGAAAACTTTAACAGAGATACGTAGTACGATCAAAATTTAAATTAAAAAAAATAATAAGAAATAAATAAAGATTAGTCTTGCATTGTGTTTCAATATGCATTATGAAACTGATAGCTATATTTTCCATTTTAATTGGCCATAATGAATCTGAGAAAAACTTTAACAAAGATACGTAGTAGGATCAAAATTTAAATTAAAAAAATAATAAGAAATAAATAAAAATTAGTCTTGCATTGTTATTCGATATGCATTATGAAACTGATAGCTATATTTTCCATTTTAATCGACCATAATGAATTTGAGAAAAACTTTAACAGAGATACGTAGTAGGATCAAAATTTAAATTAAAAAAATAATAAGATAAATAAAGATTAGTCTTGCATTGTGTTTCAATATGCATTATGAAGCGTAAATATAATGAAACATGCATTACTTTATCAACATAAATGGGACTACGGAGCATCAATCATAGAGTATAGAACTAAAAGCAGTCACATAATTCATATTTTGACAAAAAGTTACTGTTGCATTCCCATAAAAAAGACAAAATGAAGTAACCAAACAGGCATAGCAATGAATTTGAAATGTAGAGGTACCTACATGAGAAAGTTAGGTAGGAGGTGATGATCAATTCCAGTAGATTCCAAGGGTGAGGCCAGATGCTGCAAACCCTGCGAATTGGAGCTAGCGTGCCTAGATTGCATCTCCAACATTGCTCCCGGGACCCTCATTGTGCAGGGACCCTCCGCTAGGGTGATCATATAGAGCAGTTGTCGTAGCAGCATTGCTCTATTGCATTTGGCCATCCATATGGCGCTGCCAGCGTTGGGGAGCCAATTTTTCAAGATCTATCAAACAAATGCTACAAATCACAGCACACACGAACAATTCATTCAATTCAAAAACATACATCAACAAATCTACTGATCCAAGTAAAACATGCTCACTCGAAATTGAAAGGTTAAATTCAAAGCAACCACACAAAAATGTGATTTCCTTTCAAATGAAATTCAAATCCACATCAAACAAAATTTAATTGACTTCGATTGTAGCCTTCCAATGCAGATAAAAAATAAAAAAACATTACAGAGAAAATAACTGTAGGAGATAATGCAATTGAAGACAAAGACAAACATACTTAAAGTACCAAATCCAAGGGACAATGAACAATTTTTGGAGCGGATCGTGATTTCGACCTGCTGAATCGAGTGGTCCGACATACGAATTGTTGTTAGATCTAAAGCACACATGAACAATTCAGTCAATTCAAAAACATACATCAACAAATCTACTGATCCAAGTAAAATATACTTCCTTGAAATCGATAAGTTAAATTCAAAGCAACCACACATGAACGTGATTTCCCTTCAAATGAAATTCAAATCCACATCAGACAGAATTCAATTGACATCGTAGCCTTTCAATGTAGATAATTCAATTCAACCTTAGCCCTAAAGAACATTACAGAGGCAATAAATGTAGGAGATAATGCAATCGAAGACAAAGAAACAGAATTCAATTGACTTCAATCGTAGCCTTCCAATGTAGATAAAAAAGTAAGACAATAAATGTAGAAGATAATGAAATCGAAGACGAAGACAAACATGCATGCATATAAAGGAACAATTTTTTGAGATAAAGTACCAGATTCAGGAGAAAATGAACAATTTTTTGAGCGGATCGTGATTTCGATCTGTTGAATCGAGTGGTTCGGGATACAAATTTTTGTAAGGTCTGAAGAAAATTGACAAAGCAAAACCCTAATTATAGATTCAATGCTAAAAGAGAACGCTCCGTAGAAATCGAACCTTGCGAGTGGTGATGATGAACAGTAGTGAAAGCAGAACCTATTTCCTCCGAATGTGAAATTGTGAGACCCCTAACTTTTGTAAACCTTATTAGTTCCCTAAATTTTGAGTTATTGTAATAAAGCCATTAATTCGTTGATTGTTCGCAAATTAAACCCTAGAACCAAAAACGCATCATGGACGAACCCATACAAACCCTAATCGACCCTGGAAGCTTAGAAATCATTTCTAACACTCTAATATAAATTATTTAACTCTCAAATTTTAGATTAATCACTCCAAACCTTAACTTCCGATTTTCACAATTTTTGTTCGGTTATTTACCTTTAAATTCAAAGCAAGATAACATAAACCGAATTATTTTTTCTAACACTAATTTATTAACTCTACACTTGAAATAGATACTTTAATTGAGCCCAAGCCCTCATATTTTTATTAAATCACAAATTGACCCCAAACAAGTACCATTATATATTTATATATACACTTGTATCCTAAAACATTTTATTTTACAAATTCCAACAATTGTACACAAAAAAATAATAAATAAATAAATAAATAAAAATAAATAAATAAAATATAAAACAAGTCCATCAATTCACCATCACATGGCTAGCCATCACCATTGTAGGTGTAATGAATGTACTATGATACAATTTTCCATGATTTAAGAAAGAAAAATCTTTGACTTGGTACAAACTGTTATATACATGTATATAAGCAACTAGGTTGGTTTGATTAGGAGGAAAACCCTAACTAGATCATATTTAGGAACCTAATTAAGACCTTTAATCCTCCACTATTCCATTGAATTCAAACTAAATCCAAACTATCCAACCCAATTCCAACCAAGGGGCATTTAGAACCTTTTGCACCAAATTCATTATATAAACAACCCCTCCCTTAGCGTTTTACATACAAGAACAACACTTATATACACTATATTCAGCTGAGAGAGAAGAAATGAAGGAGGGTGAGCTTGGTAGGAGAGAGAAGAGGAAGAAAAAATTTGCTAGCAATCGCAACAACCCTCAAATAAGTCACAACACAACTCTCTCTTCCATTTTCCTTTTTCAAATACATGTTATTAGAAGTTTAAAATGGCATTTTCAAATGTGTTATAATGGTATTCTTGTGTCAAAAATGAAAGGAATTGAGCCTTAATTATACCCTTCTTATATTTCTTTTAATCGGTATAAGACTACATTTTTCCCTATCAATCTCTCAAAATTTTCAAAGGCACACCTTCACATTAAATTTATGAGTTTAATAAGTATTATTTAGCATATTTTCATCACAAGATAAGTGGAAAATTTCCCATAGCTGACCTCTTTTCTCACCAACTTTCTATTTTCAAAAACTATGCGAGAAAAATCTGTTTTACAGCCACCTTAAGAAAATTGTATAAAAATATTTTGGACTTCCATTTTATGTCAAAATCTTTCTTAAGGAGTTATCTTTCAAGGAAAATTGGTTTAATTGAAAACGAGTGAGCGGTTTTTGAGAAAATCTGATTTTCGTAACGGCCGACGAATCTGGACAGAGCTGGAGTATTTCTAAAATAATTACAAATCTGGAAAAGCTATTCCATTTTTGAAAAATGTTCTGAAAACTAGATAAAATTCCCTACGAACCGTAAGAAGGTCGGGCTCTAGAAAAATCTGAAATAGCCCTTTTGAGTATAATCTTTAGGTAGTACTGAATCTGGAAATTCTGTTTTCAGCAGTGTTTTATGCTCTTGTGTTCATGAATATGCTTATTAATTTATGATCATGTCTCGCTATGATATTTCACATGTCATAGGTTTATGTATTTTATTTTAATCCTTCGATGGTGCTCACACTTATGCAAACCTGGAAATTATATTCATGTGTGAATTTATTCCCTTAACTACTTGAATATGCCTAGAGCTACTTGTGCCTATCTTCATATGTGAATCTTATGTGTTGTAACTTTATTTCCTTCTATTTGTACTATTTAGTTGTTCAAACTTGTGCAATAGATGTTTCAAGAGCATGTCCTAACTTTGACTTAAATTATCTAACTCAAACGGGAAACTTAATAGGTGGTAATGGGTTGCGAATTTTTAGACAAGATTACTAAGATATTGATTGGTTGACGGGACACGTTCCCTATTTGGAAGTTAAAATCCTGCGCAAGTGGTTTTCAGAACCCTTGAACGGAGCGGTTGTATTCGGACCCTAGGTATTTGGTGAAATAAGGGATTTGGGCAAGGCCCATTATTACCGTCTCTTTTGAGGCCCTGTGACTGGCGCTACGCGGTATATAACCATTGATAGGCATCCGAGGTTAGTTCTGCAACAAAACAGCAAAAGATGGGACATACCGAATAATCCGCGTCCAATTCTTGTGGTTGGGAGGACGAAGTCTCTTTAGGGGATTTCTAGATTTCTAACATTTAATTTTGTAATCCTTTATTATTGAATGATTATCATACTCCATTACTTGCTTGTTATAATTGTGATGGTGTATTGGATTAGAAAAAATGGATGGGGTGTGTGTGCGTTTACTGAGCATTCAAACCTCATGGCGTTTCATGCCAGGTATTGAAGAAACGTATGAAGCCAACAAAGAGTCAAAGACATTTGAAGACTTAAGTTTTCCTTAGAGAAAGTTTGGAACCATTTCGCTCATTAGTCTAATTGTGTTTTTATTTATTCTTTTTGGATTGTAATAATAATGGAACTCGTTTTATAAATTTAAAATTTGAGACGCTATAATTATTATTTACTTTGTAATCCTATGCCTATCTCTGCATTTCTTATAAGACCTTGCGTCAATGCCTTTTAAGATCTGTCAAAAAGGTGGTGCGCTACTTAAAAAAGTTGGACTTAGAAGGTAGGCTAACTTGACTCCTCCGGCGATCTGGAATCTTACTCGGTTATTGGCCATAGGACTCATTAGTGTCATTTCCTAGACTCCTAACCTTAGATAAACCCTGTATTTAATTGATAATATATTCTCTGAAGTTCGCGATTTTTGGGGCGTCACAGAAATACAACAAAGAAAGCCGAAATTACCTTGCAAAGGGAACAACCGAGGGTGGGAGAGATGGAACCTTGCGAGTGGTGATGATGAGTAGCAGTGAATCGACTTCAACAAAGACAACAACGATGAACAATAGAGCTAGATTGAAGATGTATTTCGGAAAAAAAAAAATACAACAGAGAGGGGGAAGATGACAGGAATAGAGGTGGTCGATAGTCGTAATGGCAGTGGTTGAGAAAGAGGGAGAGAGAGATAAAGAGGAAATAGGGAGACAAGTGGTTTTGGCGATTCTGTTCAAGAAGAAGAATAGAGAGGAAGAGAGATAAATAAGGAATAGAGAGGAGACGTGAGAACAGAGAGGGGAGAAAGATAAAGAGAGAATGGCCCTGTTTGGTAGAGCTGTGGGAAAGTGCTTATAGCTTATGCTTAAACAGCTTATAACTTATAACTATGAACATAAGCTGATTTCTGACTTATAAATTAAGCATCTCCTGCCCCACTCAAAGAATAAGCTAATTTCTGACTTCCAAAAAGCTATAAGCTAAACCAAACACATCAAAATAGCTTAAATTAAGTTGAAAGCTGAAATAAGCAGCTTTTAAGCTGCACCAAACAAGGCCAATGTGGGGAGGAGATGTGGGTATGTGGGAAGGGTAAGGGAGAGACATGTTTAGGCAGACATGCGAGAGAGAGCAGAAAGTGTTTGAGCAGGAAAAAAAATTAATCTTAACCGTTGGATATTGATTAGGGATTATCTCAGCCATTTAAATGAAATGTATCTTTAATACATTTTATATATTTTTAAAAATCGTTCTATCTTATTATATAGATTTAGTCGATATTTTATCTTTTATGTTTTTTTCAACTAAAAAGTCCTAACCAAACAACCCGTAGTTCAATGGTGTTTTGGGAAGTTGATAAAAAGCTGATTTTTTAGTCTTTTTTTTTTGTGTGATTTTTTGGCTTTTTTTTTGGTTAAAAAACTGACTTTTTATGACTTTTGTGTAAAAAAATTAAAAAAAACCAAAAATCTGACTTTTTGCTGCATTCCCAAAACGCCCATCCAACCTTTGGGTGTTAGAGCATCTCTATCAGATTACCTAAATTTTACCTTAAAATATTATTAAAAAATTCATTCCCTATTTTAAGAATCACTTTTTCATTTATTTCTCCCAAGAGACTCCCTATTATTTCCCTATTCTATTAACAAACTCCCTAATTTTTCTATATTTTATTAAAACATAATTTTTAATTATAAATTTAAAAAAAATAAAAATCATAAATGTGTATTGCAGTCTCTAAAAAAAATTAAAAAAATAAAATAAAATAAAATTATAAGGGAGCTACAGTGACTCCCTATTTGTAGGGAGTCATTGTAGCAATTCCTATTTTAGGAAAGTGTTTAAGAGCTCTAATAGAAGGATATAGAGAGCTTTTAATTCCTTAAAATAGGTGTGGGGACATAATTTTTAAATGACAACACGTGGCCTAGGTGTCACCGAAGTGCCAGCTGAGGTGCCACGTGTCTTGGTCATGACACCGAGATCATCTCGGCTAGGCCGAGGTTATCTCCTAAAATAGGAATTGCTACAATGACTCCCTACAAATAGGGAGTCACTGTAGCAATTCCTATTTTAGGAAAGTGTTTAAGAGCTCTAATAGAAGGATATAGAGAGCTTTTAATTCCTTCAAATAGGTGTGGGGACATAATTTTTAAATGACAACACGTGGCCTAGGTGTCACCGAAGTGCCAGCTGAGGTGCCACGTGTCTTGGTCATGACACCGAGATCATCTCGGCTAGGCCGAGGTTATCTGCGAAGATACCGGAATCTGGGATAAGTGGATAAGGGACAAGAGTCCTAGAATGAGAGAGGATTTCAGTTTGGGTAAAGATAAGACTCTTAGAGAGTTTATCACAATCCTACTAGGAGTCCAAGATTAGCAGTAATCCTAAGTCCATTGAAGCTAGGCTTCTATTGGACTAAGTTTGTGTTAGCTATAAAAAAAAGCATGCTCATGGGTCTAAGATATACTTTTTATGCTCTGAATAGTGAGTTAAGTATTTTTGCTATCTTTGAGAGATAACTGACTTGATCGTCGAAGTGCCCCCGGGTGGATGAACCACCGCCAGAGTCTCTTCTTTTTGTGACTGGTCGTTCGAGCTTAATCTATTCTACCAGTGTTCTCCAGCTGAGTGCTTGATTGGCAGTGCGGTCAGAAATTGACACACACAATTTGCCGCTGTCTGTGGGAATCGAACCACAATCACGCCATCTAGAGAATGATGCTTGGGAGTTGGAATTTACAAGCTAAGTTTGGTTTCACATTTGTTGAAATTTTAAGAAAA